TACGAAACGATACCTCGCCCGAACCAAGGCTATGCAGATTCGCATGAACGTGTCGACATTAGAAGATTGGGCCCGTACCAACAATCGTCAACCGGAACACTATGAGAACGGATCAACCACATCCACGGGGGATAGCACGATGGATTCCGCGCGTAAACACCTGGCGCCTGTGATCCAGCTTCTGCAGTGGCTGCAGTGCTTTTCCTCGCTAGGCGAGGACTTCGAGTCCCTTGTCCATACCCTTCTTCAACTACAGGATCTTAGCCCGGCCCAGCTTCTTCATGCGGTCAAATCTTACCGGCCAGAAGTGGGAGAAAAGGGCCTTCCCAAGGCCGCGATGAAATTCCTGGTAGAGCTCCAACGCGACCCCGAGTTGTTGTTTAGGGAACAGTTAAGGCTTGTTCAAATCAAAGCCGATTCCCTGGCCCCGACATCAGCGCCGACCGAGGATGGTCGTCCGCGAACTCCAAGCCGAGAGCGTGGTCCTTCGGCATCTTCTGTGTCGGGATCGCCCAACGCTGCGGCTTCCATAAAATCACCCGAGTCGAGCGTTGCCTCCCCACGACTGGGGGCAAGCTCTCGGGTGGACGAACGTAGCGGTGCAAACACGGTTTTCCTGGATCCTGCACTCACTCTTCCGTTCTCCTTACCGACAAGCACGGATATGCTGATCAGTTACGGTGCAGGATGGGGCGGGACCAACCGAGAACGGGCGCGCAAGTACATCCCGACGGTCCCGCCAGAGGTCCTAACACGATTTGACCGTGATACCTGAGCCGGGGGAGGATGTATTCGAGTATATACTTACTATCTACTTTGTCTTTGTAAAGCGGCCACGGAGTGTGTGGGGTGTATAATGTTTCTTATCTCACCCGTACTAGCGACGAATGGACGATTTAGAGTACTGCATGAATGGCGTTTGGATTGCCTGATATTCGTGTACGCCGAGAAGATCCTTGAGACAATTACGCTTGATAGCGATAATCATTAAGCTTACTCCAAACGGACGGACACACGAGCAGCAAAGCCTTGTCATTCTAGATGAAACAAGCATTTGGCGGGAGGAGGCAGGAGATCAAATTAACATGTGATGTGGCATGCATCGCAAATACTTGGACAGTGTATATTATTATATCTGAATCTCCGATATTTGGGACTTCCGGCTCTTAACACTGTCAGTCAAATAATAATCGGAGCGGGCCGTTCTGGCACATTTCGGAAGTTTTTTTGTTTTTTCCATCATTTATTTCTTTTTTCGGAGTCTAGATTTCGCTGGCGGTACACGTTTCGTTTACTTCCTCGTCATCAATAAGCCCCCGCCCACGCAATGGCGCCTTCACCTGCCGGTTCCAGAATTATTACGTTCTACCTCGCTCCGCTCTGAGAGCTTCTGGGCTCTTGTTTTAAGCTTCAAAGCCGTTTCATTTCTCACCTGCAGGCTGCAGTCTTGCAGGCTCTCACCCTTAACTTCAGGCAGAAACATCACAGCCTCAGGCATTGAGGCCGTGCACCGCCTGTTATTTCCCGATCTGGCCTAGACGTTTGAAGATCATTTCCTCCTATGGTAAGCATGGTTCCTCATTTGGGCGCTTTCCTGTTCTGGCAATCTGGGGAGATGAACTGCTCAGTTTACGACTCAGACCGTGAATTGCAGTACTTTTTTTCTCACTGCCACTGCCACTGCCGCTGTGTCTCTCCTTCTCCTTCTCCCCTCCTCCACCTCCTTCCTATCTTTCCCCATCATGAGCTAGCTTTCCAATTGCACCTTTCTTGACCCAATGCCTTCTGCCTGCGCCATCATCGCATGCAGGTCCCGCAAGATGCAGCTGCAATGAAAATAGCTCATTGCTCTCTGTCAACCTGCGTCGCTGACGTTGAAAGACATGCTGCTCACCCTGAATCCTTCCTCCCAGAATGGGTTCCAACAACCCTATGACCATTCGCGATTCCGACAATATATCCCCACACTACGCTCTCCCTCACCGTCTACACCTGAGCATCCCACATCCGTACCGCCATCACGGCCAGTGGACTCCTCGATGGACTCCTCTCACAGCAGCTTGCCTCATCCTTCATCCTTAACATTGCCTCCGCCAGATGTCGGCTTCTCGACCATGCCTCCCAGCACGACGAACCAACAACTGCCACCCCCTCCTTCGCAGTGGCAGAGCTCTGATAACGCTATGCACCATTGGCTCCGAGCTAAAGCCGAAGAGGACCGGAGGAAGCAAGAGGAGGAGAAGACACGGCAGGAGACTTTGCGCCTGGAGCAGCGGAGGGTTGAACAGAGCATGCTTCGCGATTCCCTAAACGGCGGGATCCCTCCTCATATAGTTCCGCTTATCTTCTTCGGAATCTGTCAGAATGAATTGCCTCAGCCTGTCATAGAGTTGGCCCAGCAATATCTGGCACAGGTCTCGGGTGCCCGCGCGCCAAACCCTCCTGTTCCTCTAGTTCCGTCGCATTCGCACTCGCATTCGCATTCTCACTCCAATTCCCACTCTCGGCGGCAGTCTATGCATACCCGCCGGGATTCGCGCTCCGGTTCCCTCTCCAGTTCCTATGCTCCTCAGTCATCAGTTCAGCATGCAGTAGCTCCTCCTCCTCCTCCTCCCAATATTCTTTTATCTCAGAATGCATCACATAATACGAGTGCCCCTCCTACCCCTCAAGCGCCTGGAGCGCGCTCTTTACCTACAGGACCTCTGGATTCTCGCGGAGGGACAAGCCCATGGATTAACTACGGCAGTGGGGCGCAGCCCCAGCCGGGCCAGATAAATTTGGGCAACGTACAATATGCCCCTGGCTCGTCTGTGCCAGTTTCCCAGGTCCAACGGAGACCTAATTCTCAGTCACGTCGGTCTCCTCCATCTCTTTACTTCCACCATTGGGTTCCTCCAGCTCAGCCACAATCCGGCGTAACACCTGGGAAACCCCACCAGGAACTACCAACACAGCCCAATAACTCTCGTCGTTCAGAACATCATGCTTCTCCAGGGCGAAAAAGAAAAGCCCCCGGCTCTCATCAGCCCCCTCCAGCTCCGTCTTCTCGTCCATCAGAGTCCCTCCCCGGCTTTTTCCAAACATCACGACCGGGATCTCCTCGAAATGATGGACAGCAAAGAAGATCATTTGCCCACCACCGTCAACTAAGTGCTACAACAGTCACTCATTCAGGTCATCATTTAGAAGATATTAAAGCGGAGCATACCGGGGGGCTGAGCCCATCTCAGATTTCCACAGTTGTTCCCAGGCATACTTCGACGGGCCACGATTCAGCGGACCAGAAACACAGCGAGGATTCTTCACCAATAGCTGACTCTGACAAGAACTTTTCGCGAGCGCTCCATGGTCCGAATACCTCTACCGCGGAGACTGGGCTCCGTGGCTCCTCCATCGAGGGTAACACTCAACATTCCCCGGTGCCAAAAGCACCAGGACCACCTACTCTGCTCCGCGAAACCAGTGGAGAGTAAATCTAATCCACGCTGCTGTTGATGGTTTTGTCTTTATCCGATAGATATATATATGCACACTCCCACATCTCCCTAGAGCTGTCCCTCATCTATGACCTCGGAGATAACGGGGATCGGCTTACAGAGGCCATATACATATACATAAATATGTATATGAAGGAATATTGGAGGAAATTTCGCACGTCGCAAGGTGTTTATTTTTTGCTATTTCCGATTGGCATACAGCTTTGTACATAGCCACCTTATTAGTCTTCTGATGGAGACCCCCTGGTAGCTGGCATGCTAGGGCTTGTAAAAAACACTCTGGAGTGCAGGACCTGGAACTAGATACCGATGGACTTGGCTCATTTGTGGGGTCTAAGTAATGAACAGCTGGGCTACACACACACACACACACACACACACACACAAATGGGAGTTCTCAAAGCGGACGTAAAAGGCAGGAGCTATGTAAATCTAACTGGTATGGTAGGTACAGCCAACCCAGGGACCCTCCTTCCCAAATAGTAATAAAACCGTCAGTTGCTCCTTCCTCAGGGGGCCGTAGTGTTGTGCTAACCAAGGAAGGCACGATCTTCCAATTATTAGAAGTTCGAGAAGAGCATCCGTACCACGGGGCTCAAACTTAGGGAGCAAATTTATATACTGATATGGCAATAGTAACGGTGATTGAATTAGGTAGTAGTAGTATGTAGAACATAAGGCTTGTCCTATTTAACACTCCGAAAACAGGAAAAGAAAAGGGCGAAGGAAAGCGGGTACAAAGTACTGACAGTAGGAGTAGTAACAACTGTATCAAATGGGACAAAAGGGTCACAAAAGAGAAAGGAAGGGGGTATCAGATTTAGGACTGGATCACGATTACACTGGACTGTCTGGATGAAAATTAGGTTGATAAGTTGATATATAAGAAAGCTCTTGGGTCGTATCGTATACAGTTGTGAAGTGAAGGAAATAAGGAGGTGTATTAGTGAGAGTGTGAAGGGGTATAGAAATATTATAATGAAGTGAGGGTATAATGTAGTACAGCCTGATGACAGAAAAATGGAGGTATGCGCCGGGGATGATTGTGGGTGCTGCTGCATGCAAGACGTCAGGAATTGGGTTATACCGCTTCTTCCATCGCAGAATGTTTCTGAGCAACAGGAAACACGAAGGTATGCAGCAACAATTTATTTCTTTCCCAGAAATCTTCAACTGCAAAAGTAACAGGTCTCCCCCCTTGGCGACTGGTGGCGTTGACAGTTGTTTGAAGCCGTTAACGAAAATAAAAGGAGTATGGAGAGAACCAAAATATCAGCCGTAAGAATAAAAATTGTGATTATAGTGATAGCAAAACAATGTTTGTGCAGTCATCGCAAATCATCCAGGCGGAAATCATTCGTGAGCTACCTCAAAGAGTGATCTAGCTCTTTGAGGTATGAAAGGGGGATATTATGATTGAGTGCAGTGTCGAAATCACTGCAGTAATAAAAGGATATAAGTGACCATCACGACCGTACAGTAGAGGATATTGGCGCGTATCTAACCGGACTTTTTTCGGCGGTGGACTTTCCACTCAGCCTTAGCGACACGCATGAACAGTTCGACGTCTTTGATTGGAATCCAGCTAGTTAAAACTTTCATCGAATTCTCGAAATCGGACTCGAGTATGATCTCTCGCATGCCGTCAATGAGAGCGGCCGATGTGGCATGGAGGACATCTAAACTCTTGCCGAAGCCGATGTCCTCCGTTTTGTCGCCATTGTTTGCGCTCGACGGTGGGTGATCAGCATCACCAAGGAGCATAAAGACATCCCACACTCGAAGTTGTGCCGGAAATGGGATGGAGTAATTGAATAAAGTAAGATACCAACGAGTGCCGTATGCTGTAGGTGGAATGCCGACTTCGGTCTGTTGCACAGCGGTCAGTACAGGGCGTGTGCGTCGGCATAAAAAAAGTGGCCAACATACCAGTTTCGAGGCAACTTCTCCTCCCTCCAACCACTCTCGTTCAAAGTCCCCTAGAGCCTCCATGAGTCCCGCAAACCCTGAGCGGTAGAGTTTTTCCAGTCCCCGCAATTGCCACAGTCGAACAAGCATGACAAATGTATGCTCTTCATCATAGTAAGCAAGAAATGTAGCCGCCAGTGCCGCCATACCCTGGACGTACCCCGTATCCGGAAAATAGAGGGACATCGCATGCAAGACGCGGAAAAGTAGGCGTTGACCACCGCGATACCGTCGCCGGAACATGATATGGCTAGAGATCGTCCTCGGCACATCAATATCGATTTGCACGTCGTCAGGAGATGACATCTCCTGATATTCTTGGTAAATCTCAATGAGGGCCTCTTCCGTAGGGCTATCGCTGTGTTTCTTGGCACTCGTTTCTAAGAACGAGTACCACGCTGAGGAACGCCACCGGTCAGGTATCCCCTTCCATGTTCGCTCGACCAGCTTTGAGCTTTTGGTGTCGAAGTCGAAGGTCATTCCGCCTCCATCCTTACCCTTTCGTGTTGGCTTGGCCATCTTCGTCCACTTGTCCTCCCGTTCCCACTCCTTTTTCCTTGCCGCACGCGCAACAGCACTATCCAATCTGTCGTCAAAAGTTGCAGATTCCGCGGGGAGTGTGAGCATATCTCCAGCTTCGTCTTTGAAGCGGCGATTGCGGTTGTGGGGTAGGTGATTTGTTGCTTGACGGAATCGCGAGGTTGACCGGCGCAGGGGTGATCTATACATGCTTTGCGACGAAGTTGGACGGATGGATGTTTCGGAGTTCTGTCGTGAAGGAGATCGGCCTGTAAATGAGCGGTTGCTTGCTAACGCAGAGGGTGGTCGGATAGAGCGCTTTCGTCTGGGCGTTTCTGAGGCCAGCAACAGACTAGTAGAAACTCGCTGAATAGGGCTGAATTCGGCGGCGCCATCGTTGGTGTTTGATGCGCGAATGAACCCATACCTATCGACATCTCCGGCTTTGATATTCTGCCAGTATTCAATACCCCCTGCTAACTCATTAGCTTCCCGTTTGGGGGCTGCTGATGGATCGTCCCGGGCGGGGGATGTTTCAGCGGGTTTCGTGTCGGCTTCAGAGGCACTGCTTTCGAAGGTTTCTGTATGTGTAGGAGTTGGTTCCTCCCAAAGAGTACCGTTCTCCATGGCAAGCGATCTCGCGACCTCCGAATCTGACACATTCTCGTCTCCTTTCGCATACATCAACCTGACTCTTCGAGATAGCATATCCTCATCCGCAGAGATAGCTCTGCTGGGAATACTGCTGCGTCTGACGCGAAGCAACGACGCCGGTCGTGGACGGCTACGGGGTGTTACAGTATTCTCCGCGGCGGAGCCGTTTTGAACCTGTGGAGTACTCTGATCCTGCGAAGTGCTCGGCCTCTGACTGGTGTTCGGCCCCTGAGGGTCCCCTTTTGCTTCGGTTCCCGTTTCTTGCTCCCTGAGATTGCGTTCCAGCTGTTGTCTTTCTCCCTCCTGGATGAGGCTTCCACGCTTAGAAAACCTCATGGTTTGCGCACCAAGTCCGTCTAGCTCCCCGGTTGGGATGTCTAGGGCGATGCCGCTAAATTGGGGTTCTATCCGTGGTACAGGTGGCGGGGATTCTTCCCTACTAAATTCCCCTGACCTCTTGCCTCTCAAGGTAGGCCATTTCCGTTCCGACCATCGTGAACCAGGTCGCGAACCGGGTCTTGAGCCAGGGCGAGAACTAGGCCGAGCTTTGGGTTCGTTGATGACAATGCTGGGAATGCTGCGCAAAGAGCGCAAGCTGGCGGTCGAAGGTTCGGTTTCTTGGGGAGATGTCATTTCCTTGGGTTTCCCAAAAAATGGCGGAGGCGCAAGTCCCGGGTCTGGCTTTATCTCTTGGTGCGTCGGGGTTTCAGGCGCTGATTGATCGGGCCCGCTGGACGAGGTGGTTGTCGCAATGGACTTTCGTTCGGAGCATAGTGAAGGATCGACTGGAGGTGGGAGCGAGGCGAGTTGAGTTGCTGGAGGGTCTGGGGTGGCTGTTCCTCCCGAAGTAGAGGGACGTTCCGACATTTCGACGGGCGCTGAGGGGGCTCGCGTGTCTTCCATTATCCTAGCATGACTTGCAGCTAGAGCTCTTTGTGGCTTCAATGCGCAGTGTGCTTTCACCGGGAACTCCTAACTAACGGCCTTTTAAACTCGTAATTATTTCTTCCGGTTCGTTTCTGCGGATGGGATCGAAGGGAGAGAGGCGGGGGATAATTTTTGGAGGACAAAGTGTCGAATCGTCGCACGAACGTCGCGCCAATTAATCGCACCTAAGATATATAGTACGACGCCCAAGGGGTAAAAGCGAAAGACACCTGTAAGATAGTATCCACTAGGCAGTTGAACATGACCGTCCCCAGGGGTGCGATGCCCAAGAACGGGGGGAGACTTGGGAGCTTGAAAGGATCGAGGCTGCCAGTTGTTGGACCGCGGCGGCTTCACTGCCACTTGGCAGGCGGACAAGCTTCAACGTTCTAAACGGGCAGGTAGCGATTGGAGAAAAGTAGCAGACCGAAAGGACGGTGACTGCGTGGATTAAGGAGAGACAAGAACGAAAGCGACGGAAGAGAGCGAAGGGAGTGGGAATTCGAGTGTTGGAACCAGAAGAAGGGATCGCGAAGGGGGTTACGAATCGATCCACTTGGGGGGATTCATATACAGACTAAGGCCAGCCTTAAGTTCTCAACAGGCCGGGCCCGCTTGCTTGTCTCGGCGCACCAGCAATTCACGGTCTCATTCTTGGAGAAACAAGTGGGAGAAAATGCAGCGAAATTCAGAGCCTGGGGTGCCATCTGATCTGTTCCTCGGTGTTCGCTGCCATGATGAAACTGGAACCCACCTGGCTGGCCGATTCCATGGGCTGGAGGGCGTGCCTAACAAAGCAATTGTTTGGATTGTCACGCAGAGAAAATGGATTTGACGTCAAAATATTCAGTCATGCGCCGCTGGTTGTCAATAGTGGCACTGTTTTTACCGATCTATCGGTCCCTGCGTCGTGTGCATCTGAAACAAAAGGAGCCCGCTATATACTAACTGTTTACCCTCCTTGACTCGAACCAAGAGATTCATCCGATCGGGATACCTGTACACTCCAGGGTTTACTTAATCTGATTTTTCGATGTAAGGACTTTCTAAATTTCCCTTCCATCATCGCTCTTCTTCCCTGTTATTTTGCGCTTTGTTGCGACCCTAGCAGCGCTCCTGGCAATGAACCGCGCACGTATCCCGTCCCAAGTCCCCAAAAAAGTAACTCCAAAACGCCAGATACCAGCTGGCAATAAATGCAACCCCATACGCATAGTGTAGTACATCCGGTGCCCCGACGTTTCCCTGGCATGTTCAAACTCAGGATGGAAAAGTTGATGGGCGGGGTGAATAATAGTGAGGGGAGTAGTAATGAGGGCCAAGAGGCAACAATGACGGACTGGCATGCACCGCAGCCAAACCGTTAACAGACTCTCATTTTCAGGCTACAGTCGCGGTGTTGGCAGTTGAGCGAGATGGCTCACGCCCAGAACGTGATGGTTCAATGGGCTCCTTGGGCAAAAGTTCGATCTGTCGAACTAGGAAGCTCTTCTCATCGGTGAACTGGTCATCATCTGTCCGGTCTTCCAGGAATTTCGGCAGGAATTTTAACAACCGATCTCGATTGTTGATGAGAATCCGTTGCACTGCCACTGATTTGTCCGGATTCGCAACAAATACCTAGCCACATTCCTCGTCAGCACGACCGCATGACTCCATGGTCACAGTCGCAGGATCCTTTGCATACCTTAAAAACGTGAAATCCCTCATATTGAACCATCTTACGGTCATCGCGCAGGAGCTTCATGCAGAGTTTAAGGTTCTCTCCGCTTTCGACATATCGCATCATCACACTGTAGTTGGCGCGGTCTAGTAAGATCTCACCCAGCAGCTTGATACTTTGTCGTTTGGTGACATATGAGTCAGACTGTACGAGGGAAGAGTTGAATTGCGCGAAAAAGTAATCAAAGTTCGTCGCCAGGTACCCGGTCACAAGGGATTTATGGCGCGTCAAGAGTTCCTAGAGGCAAACTGAAGTTAGGACTGACTATCTTCACGGAATAACTCTTTGGTATACGTGCCCTGAAAGTCGTGAAGGCATCTGCACTTAGCTCAAAGCTGCCTCGATCAATCCAATGGAAGAATCTCCAAAAAACACCAGTTCCGCGTTGAGGAACGTTGGGCTGGACCTCGGTCAGTCTAATGGCCGGCTCTCCTTCCTTGGACTGGTCATAAAGAATGATCGCAGCGATCACGTCGAACTTGAGGGCCTCTCTCAAAATAGTGCCACAGGGCATAGCGCTTTGGCTGTGCTCATAGCCCCTGCATAACTCGATAATAATTTCGGGTCGATTGTGTACGATATATGAGATAACGGGCGGGTCCGGTGAATTGGCTTGAGGGGGTTTGAAGCGAAGTATGTGTGAGAATATCGTTTGAGTATCTTTCCTCGCTTCGAATGGGAGGCTGTGAAGAGCGAGCGCGAGTTCGTAAAGTAGGTCTTCTTGTAACATAGCCTGGACCAGAGCGTGGACCTGATCGGTTGAGACTTCAATTTCTGTCGCACACCCAATTAGTATGACAGTCTTGCATGTCGTACTTGAGTTCCCAAAAAAAATGTACGAACCCTGAGTCCCCTGCACCATCAACTTCATCTGAGAAAGCTGTTTGGCCAACTCATCTTCAACCTAACGATGGGTTGGGAGGTGAATAAGTTTCCAATCGTTCGCAATAAGTTCGAGACATTGGACTAACCTTGGGAGCTGCCGATGGCTCACGAAGTCTTGCCAACGAATCTTTAATTGATCTCACAACATCGGATGGTTGGCGGGATCGGCCGCGGTTAAAGAAGAAAGCCATACTTGTTTATCTTATCAATGGCAAAAATTCAGGGGAGGAAAAGAGTCAAACTGCCTCAGAGGATTTGCGAGGAAAAGCGTAGAAAATTGTACGGCATTTGAGATATAGAACAAGCAATCACGGGTGAATTCCGAGGGAGATATACTCGAGGGGTGGGATGTATGTTGGTGCTTTGTTGCTTCGGGAAGCGGTGATGATTGTTGGCGGGGAAGCCGCTTGCCTGAGGCTGCGATTTCTTATCAGCAGTGTAAACAAATCAAACAATCCCACTGAACGGAGGCGGGGCAACCATTTTTGGTAAATTTTCTTCCTAGGCGCTGCAGGTCGACAGAGCCGGTCAATTTGAAGCCCTGGGCCATTTGAAGTGGTATAGACTCATCTAGAGAGGACTCCGCCTGATTTGTACCGGATACAGAGCTTCCAGTGCCGCCTTGACGTTATTGGTTTTTGGTCTACTTCTCACCCCGCAGTAATCGCCATGTCTGCCCCAATTCCTTCAGAGCGTCCCTTAAAGGACGTTGATCGCGATTCCGTTACGTCCGACGATTCGGATGCTACTGATGAGGAGGGCTGGGAAGATCTCGAACCCGATGACGAGACACAGCCAGTCATCGGCCTTTTCTCCGACAAGGTCTACCCGGATGTTCGGTCAATGCTCAAGGAAAGCAAGGACAAGAATGGCTTTGATTTAAGAAAGATACAAAAGGAGCTTGGTGTGTAGACGACCGATTGAACTCTGTGCATTGGACTGTACATCTCGCTGCTGCACCTTTCCGACCTACGCGTGAATGGCATCCCGAAATGGAACTTTGCTAACTTATTTCTCTCCGGACCATTAGACTTGGATTTTCTGGATACCATTAAGCTCGTCAATTATGTACGATCTTCGGTGAAAGATGGCAATACGACACCCGATGTGTCTTCTAAGGAGAGATTCCAAGACGAGGCGTACTTGAAACCCGTTTTGGAGGACGACGCACTCTTATACAGTCTGGACGATATTGAAGATGAGGAGTCGGGAGAGCCTGGCGGCACCCAGGCTGAACGCCAGGTAGTCGAGCTCCAGGAGGAACTAGAACGTCTTCAAATCCAATTCTCGGAGTATAGACTTGCGGTCCAAAAATCGTTGGATGATCAATTGACCAAGGAGGACGATACACTCCCTTCGACTTCTGGCGAATCTGCTAGTCGCGCTTCCAACAAAGCGGAAGAAATTGATTCGGATTATTTCTCCTCTTATGCGTATAACGGTATGATGCTTGGATTATTCTCACGTTGGAGAGAGTTCAGTCACTAATCGGCAATCTAGGCATTCACGAGTCTATGCTTAAAGATACGATTCGTACTGATTCCTATCGGGACTTTGTTTATGACAACAAGCACATATTCAAGGATAAAGTTGTTCTGGACGTCGGTTGTGGGACCGGAATCTTGTCCATGTTCTGCGCGAAAGCCGGTGCCAGAAAGGTGATATCCGTTGACAATTCGAATATCATCGATAGGGCGAAGGAAATTGTCTATGAGAACGGGTTTGGCGATGTTATAACGTATGTATACCGAATTCTGGCGGGTATTTGGGCTCGTGATTAACTCTAGCTTTACAGATGTATTCGGGGCAAGATTGAGGAAGTCACTTTGCCTGTCAAGCAGGTGGACATCATCATTTCTGAATGGATGGGTTACGGTCTGCTCTTTGAAGCGATGTTCGATTCGGTTATATACGCCCGTGACCGCTACCTTGCACCAGATGGACTTATGGCCCCCTCGCATGCCACGCTTCGCATTGCGCCGTTAGCCGATCCAGACTTGGTCACATCCCATATCGGATTTTGGCGCGATGTCTATGGCTTCAATATGAAGAGTATGCTCACTGGTATCTACGATGAAGCACTTGTCCGCTTTGTGCCATCCTCTTCTATGGCTGGGGAATCCGAAATCTTCGCCACCTTGCCACTGCACACCATCACTGTTGAGGAACTATCATTTTTGAAAGAATTCGAGGTGACCTTGAAGCAAGATGTTGACTCCCTCGATGGCTGGTCTATTTGGTTTGACATATTCTTCATGCCATCCAGGCAATCAACGCTCCCACCCAACGCCATTCCATCCGATCTGCAAAAGAAGGGTATCGTGGCGTTTACCACAGGACCGGATGGCAAGGAGACCCACTGGCAGCAAACCATTTGCCTCATCGACCATGGTAAAAAGAAGCCAACTGCATTGAAGAAGGGCGAAACGGTAAAGGGAACGGTTAGATATCAGAAGAGGAACGCCCACTCCAGGTCCCTTGATATCACAATCGATTACGATGCGCAAGTTGGAGAGAAAGGTTCTCAAGAATGGGCATTACAATAGAGATCATTTTTGAATAAAAAGTTTTGTGTTTGTTTCGTGGATACACCGCTTGTCAGTGTAACAACTAATACTAATATACTTCAACTCATAAATTTGCACTATACGGCCGGGCCCGCCCTTGCCGATGGGCATCTCGTTATTTGCGATGTCTCGAACCAGCTTCTGCTTTACTCTGTCGACTATAATGCCTGTCATCGTGCCGTTGTCGGCGGCTATGATGACGATGTGAACGCGAGCGGGATGTAGAGCGCGAACGCCGCCTGTGCGAATGGCGCGAAGGCTTATCGCCGGCCAGCTCGTTATTCCGGCCCCTATACTCGTGGTCTCTATCTGATGAGCCATCGAGTTTAAAGTTTCCTAGGCTATCTTCTGACTGGGACCGTTTCCTACGGTGGCGCGATCGGGTCCTCTCAGCCGCTTTCAACGCATCAAGTTCTTTGCTCCTTTCCTGATTCCACTTCTTTCGTTCCCCCTCAACCGACCTCAGCTGGCGAACGCCTTTCTTCATCGCAGCTAGTGGATCGTTGAGGTCCATCCTAGCTTTCTCTCTCTCCTTCCTCATGGGGTCCTCATTCCCCCAAACGTCCTTGCTAGGTATGGATTCGGGGGCTATAGCGGCACTATGAGAAGCCGAATACCAAGGGTTCTTGCCAATACTTTGACGGAATCCCGCCGCATTGGAGAACCGCATTGTATACTGGTCTTCGTAACTTCGCTGCTTGTCGGCCGCCTCTTTTTCAGCCTCTGCGTTCTTCTCAATTCGTTTCCGACAGCTATCTTTCTGGAAGAAGTTGATGTGTCCATCCTCGTCGTAGAGCGGCGCGTCGTTTTTGCTTTTCCGAGAATGTACCAGTTCCTCCCGTTTCGCCAGCGCAAGCTCCGCGTCTTCTCGAGCAAATCGAATATCTCGATCTGTATCATTCTCTCCGGCCAAGCGTCTCCGCTTTCTGTGACCTCCCGTGTAGTTGGAGCGATCTTCCTTTTCTGGTTGCGACGTGGAGGATTGCGGCGGAGGAGGCGTAGGTGGTCGCTCGCCACGGAGAAGCTGGATTCTTCGTTCAGCATCGACCTCTTGCATGCGGCGCTCCTCTTCTTCTTCGTGCGCCTTGGCTTGCGCTTCATCCCGCTGGACACGCGCGACATTTTCCGGATTGTAGACGTTCCATGACTTCTTCCCGAGGAGGTGCCTAGTGAGAATGACGTATGAGAATCCTTCTTTTAGGATGCAACACGTCAGAGCAGGGACTCACAGAGGCATTTTAGACTGCGGACAGCGAAGAGCGGCCAGAGGCCCACGGTGGTTAAAATGTCGAAAATAGTGATCCTCACTGGGCAGTAACGCAACTCGCAGGCATCCCGGATTCCTAGGTGACGCCGGTTGGTCGGTGGCTGTCGGCAAAACGAACTCCGCCCGTGGTGGCTCATCAGCGGTTCCAGACTCCCAACTTGCCCCATCAGAGCTGCCTGCGGAGGTTCAGGTCAACGCCACGTTGCGCTTCTTTCAGACATCAACGTCCGTTGCTGTCGACTTCAAGTATCTCTCTACATATATACTCGAGTCTAATATTGCCGCAAATTTTCCTGCTATACCGATAACGCTTATCGTAACTTGACCGCCCCTTCGTGCAGTTCACGGGTCAAAGCTGCGGGCAGCATCGACCAAGCTCATCATTGACCTTGTCGACTTTCTCCTTGCTACTAGCTGCACCCTATCTTTATGATACAGCATGTTTGGTGGTCGCAGCCCCTTCGGGTCTAACAATCCCCAAAGAGAGGGCTACTCACGGCCCCCGCAAGGCTACCCACCCCAAGGTTATCCGCCTCAGCACGGAGCTCCGTATGAATCCCCCCCATGGCAACCTCTTGTAACAAACTTGTATGTCGCTAACAGCATTTACATTTTATTAGGGGCTATGGATCGCCATCTCCACGACAACCTGCACAGGGTGGTCGCCCACTACCGCAAGCTCCGATGGGGGGAAGACCAAGTGAAGGAGGGTGGCGCTTGAAGGTCATGGAGAATGCGGATAAAGGATACCAGTTCAGGAACTTGTAAGTATGGATGATCTGAAGCGTCGAGTTTGGGTGCTAAAAAATTCGCAGTGTTGCGCTCTCGACACAAGATTTCCCCCGTGCCCAGTTCGGACAAGAAGACATTTTGATCATTGTCAATAACCGCAATGTGTTCACTGCGCGCCCTGCTGATGGATTCCCCCCTGGATACATTGGTCTTTCCGGCATCCAAAGACCGTGGGCCGGCGCTGGACTCCGAGATGAACTCTTCATACAGATATACGACCCGTTCCGTCAGGGTGGAGAAGCGTACCTCGGATCTGCCGACATCGAGGTGAAGTTTGCTGGAAAATCCAGGACGGATGAATTATATGATCAGGATGATCTTGCTGCCTCCGTGATAAAGGTATGCATGCTGGTTTTAAGCCTCTCTAGTAGTTCTGTCTAACCTTCCCAGAATTTTGAAAGCCAGCTATTTGCGCCGGGCCAGCCGGTATTAATGGATCATCGCGGCATCCCGCTCCAGTTGAGAGTCAAAACCATTCTGCGTGTCAGCCTGACCTCAGAGAAGGAGACTAGTAAAGAGCCAGAGACAGATCCTACAGCTAGGGGCATTCTTACGAAGCACACGGTGATCAACTTCTTCAAGGACCCTGAGAGCAACATCCAGATCAAACCCGCAAAGAACCGGCCAGCGGCAAACGCTATAATTCAACCCGACTTCAACACCGAGAAGATGGGAATCGGTGGTCTCGACTCGGAGTTCCACACCATCTTCCGCCGAGCGTTTGCATCTCGCATTTTCCCACCCGACATTGTGCAAAAGCTTGGCATTCAGCACGTTAAAGGTATATTACTGTTTGGGCCTCCAGGAACCGGTAAAACGTTGCTTGCCCGGCAAATCGGAAAGATGTTGAACGCAAAGGAGCCGAAAATCATCAACGGTCCGGAGGTACTAAACAAGTTCGTCGGACAGTCAGAAGAAAATATCCGGAAACTTTTCGCCGATGCAGAGCGGGAGTATAAGGAGAAAGGCGATGAGAGTGAGCTTCACATTATCATTTTCGACGAACTAGATGCCGTGTGTAAACAGCGTGGCAGTGGAGCAGGCGGCGGTACTGGTGTCGGTGACAGCGTGGTCAACCAGCTGCTATCGAAGATGGATGGTGTTGATCAGCTTAACAATATCTTGCTTATTGGTATGACCAATAGGAAGGATATGATTGATGATGCGTTGCTGCGGCCGGGTCGTCTCGAAGTGCACGTCGAAATCTCGCTTCCTGATGAGGCCGGTCGAGCCCAGATTCTCGGCATTCACACTCAAAACATGAGCCAGAGTGATCTACTGGACCCGAGTGTCAATGTGGCAGAACTCGCCAGCTTGACGAAGAACTACTCGGGTGCTGAAATCGCTGGTCTCGTAAAAGCGGCAACTTCGTTCGCGTTCAATCGGCACATTGATTCCGGTAAAACAGTCAGGGTCAAAGATGATGCATCGGAAATGAAGGTCAACCATTCTGATTTCATTCATGCACTCGATGAAATCCAACCAGCATATGGTGTGTCCGAGGATGAAATCAAGCGATGCATCGAGCACGGCATTATCACTTATTCTGAGAAAATTGGCGGTGTTCTTAAGGATGGGGAGGCACTGGCGAAAGGGCTTGGTCACCCTGACCAAACACCACTGTGGTCTGTTTTGTTCAACGGGCCGCCTGGCAGTGGGAAGACTGCTCTTGCAGCTCAGATTGCTTTAGACTCGGGTGCACCTTTCATTAAAATGATCTGCCCTGAAGATATAGCTGGATTTAGCGAGCAGGCTAAGATTCAACATATTCTCCGAGTCTTCAATGATGCCTACAAAAGTCAGACTAGTGTTGTCGTTGTCGATGATATCGAGACTATTATTGACTATGTGTCTGTCGGGCCTCGTTTCAGCAATAGCGTCCTGCAGACACTCAAGGTATTGTTCAAGAAACGCCCACCAAAGAACCGGAGACTTCTTGTTCTGGCGACTACCAGTCAGCGAGCACTTATGAAAGAGTTAAATATTTACACGTCGTTCAACTCCGACATCGATGTTCCAAATGTCACTAACCACGAAGAGCTGAATCACATCATGGCAAAATCTGGAGTATTCACCAGCGAACAGATTGCGGAGGCATTAGGACGTATTGATACTCTGAAGGGACAAACCGCTTACAGCATCACCACCGGCGTCGGTATCAAGAAGGTCTTCGATGGAATCGAGCTTGCTAAGAAGACACCGACAGAGCTGGTAAACCAGTTTGTTCGTTTTGTCAACAGTGCCGTTCAGGAGGGAGCATTGGCCACTAGGGGACCTAGAGCTGAGGAATTCGAGTTCAGTTAGACTTCGTCCTTTTGACTGTCTGTTGATGGATAATACTTAGCTAAATAGGAGCTCATCCCAAAGTTGATAGATGCTTAAAGACTTATATAATCTTTGTTAAGTACTAACTAACCGGCTACCAGCAACTAAGACAATTCTCCCAGTCATAAAGTAAAGTCTTGATAAATCAGTTGTTTGGTAGCTGTGGTGAGGCAGCTGCTGTTTTCACCCGTCCGTTGGCTACCAACCAACTTATATCTCACTTCGTAACACCCTTTACACCCACTCCTCTAACTTCATTATTCTTCATCCCACATTAATTTCTAAGATTCCTTGCCGTGCTTTACCTATTTTCATCCAAAACCCCACTGCTTCGCCAAGGACACAACCTGACGCCAGTCAAAGAGTAAAACCACCGTCATGTCCAACCAGGTCGCACCCAAACAAACACCCCAGAAAAAACAAATCTCGCAGAAAGAATACGACCACTGGGAAGAATGGGCGCCTGAAACTATCAAGGATTACCAGGTGTCTTCCGGTAGGCCTGTGCCAGTAACAGTTCACCAGAAACGGCACCAACCACAGCATCAGCCATCACAACAGCAAAATCAGCCTCAAACCACCAGCGCTAGCATAATCCAAGGCCGTATACCGAACAGACGCTCACAAGTTCGGTCATCCTCTCTTTTTGAAGAATGGAAGACTAAAGCCTTGCGTAACCCGGTGCAGCTCAACGAGCCCATCGTTTCTCCTACAACTACGCTGAAACAAAACAACGAGACAGAGGGTGTTACTTGCGGCGAAGCACGAAAAAGGCCATTGGGGAAAAGAGTTGATGAACCAGACAATTTTCAAGCGAAGATTAAACCAACAAACGATTCTTGTGATCGACAGCCGGCAACAACCAAGGCCGACGGCTTTAATTCAGGTAAGTGTGCTTAACACAACAACCACCAAGGCTCAAAATCAAGTGCCACTAACTTTAATTTGTCCTTTCAGAAACTCCAAGTTCTGTTACATTCTCAGGTACCCAAAGCGACCCCTTTATCAATCCTACGGCAACTATCAGGAAGAAGGCCTCAAAGAGAGGAAGAAAACAAGACCGCCCAGAACGTCAACAACAACACTCCAAGGTCAGAGGACAGAAACAGCCAGCATACGTGTCCCCGAACGGCACTCATTTTGACGCTGTCGAGCTGAGACAACTGGCTCTTGGAGTCAGACTCGAAGGCAAGGATGTTGTGTATTTCCTTCCTTGCTTCATAGAAGATCCGTGGAAAGATATGAAGCCATCTCCATATGCCCACCCAGCGGAACTCAAGAACAGATCCTAGACGCATGCTTACATCAACTATCCATTTTACGTTACAATTGAGGGCGAAGAAAGGACGTTTGATGACTACTTTTCCGAGGGTATGAAGAGGATATTAGTGGTTCACTGGTCATGTCGGCTGATTTTACCTATTACTTCTCATTTCCCCAGAGGTTGAGAAGATTTATCGTGTTGACCTCGAGCAAATATCATAGACACCAATCTGGCCTTTAGGCTACAAATCATTTCGACCATCCTAAACAAGTTAAAATCTATATCCCGGCTGCTTCCTATGCTGAGGTATATTTTCTTAGGAGAGTCAGCCACAAAACAGGATAAGACAGGACTACAATGAATGGGTAGTATCGGCAATCTCTAATCCAACAGGCAATAGGTTCAATGACTCTACCCGAAAGATATATATTCTATCACATGCTATTACACGCCCTGGAATCTCCAGCTAGCCTGACACTTTCCTCTTTCGGTATACGATCACGTGACGTTTACATCGCCCCCTACCCACCCCTTCTTCCAGTTCTTGGGCACCGAACGTCCGCTCCGCATTGGATGCCCAAGGTCCTGGCGGGTCAAGCGCGGGATTTCGAAAGCAGCCAAGTGGATTCCCTAAAATGAGAGGGGCGGGGCGGAGGCGTCATGCTGAAACAGCGGGTGCATTCAGCGATGATGTTTGGCTAGGGCCCAGCTCACAGCCTCACGCTGTCTGTCTCTTGTGAGTGAGGCGCCAGTGGGGAATTGTACAGCGCCATAATGCATCTTGGCTCATCTGAATCCGGGGTTGCCTATTTTGGGTTTGGTGTGCAGACGAGGTGGCCAAGATGATGTCTCCCGTCTGACCGTACGTTGATCGTGGCACCCTCGATGTGTACTATGTACACCTTCTCCCCATGTACGTCTCTGCTACGCGTGGGATTCTGTCCGGCGAAGAGGATGCGAGGAAGGCCCTACATGGTGTGACGGGGCAGAAAGCACATGTTCTAATTTGCTGGTGTTGCTGCGGATGGCGAGGTAAGCATTAGAGAGCGCGTCAGTTTGGACTTTATGGGTGGCTACTACATCTTACATGCAGGGTACGCGAAATGACACAGAGAAACGAGCATGTTCGGTTGATTAAAGACGCTAAGTGAATGACCAAAGGCACAATTTTACACAGAAAAGGGAGAGAGCCGTCCCAAACCAGCCCAAAACAATCGCAGAAAAAGCAAACCCTGAAATGCCCGATAGCCGGGGCATCTGCACCCATATTTGAAAACAAAAAGAAAGGTCGTCAGTTTCGTTACAAAGGTTTTATGTGAACCCTCTGGAGAGCTAAAAGAGGAAAGCGAAGCAAGGAGTACCCGTTCTTACGGCAACTAGTTGTCGTCAAACGTGTATTTCTTCGATGCTCGTCGGTATTCATCAGGATGGATGCTTTCGGCCTTCGATTTCAGAGTACTGTGATTACGAAATTTGTCAGCTTGCTCAGATCAGGCTGAATGCGTGGAATTCCTCCCCAGGAGCCTTCCAGCCGCACTGCTATCACCTAGTCGCCAAGAATCACACTGAGACGGCGGAGCGCGGCGGATATCCGCTCTCGCTCTCGGCGGAGCGGAATCCGACGACCATCACCGCTGCAGATGCAGACTTCACAGATAAGGGGGCGGTAGAGAACTCACTTTACGCGCTTCTGAGTCCATTCGAGATCCCGCTTAGTTTCCCGCGCGACCTTGACTCCGTCCGCGAAGCTCGTGCGCACACCCTTCAAACGTCTCTGAGCGAGAGCCTGCAATTCAACAAGTTCGCGCTGCTTGGCATTTAGTTGACCGGATCTATCGTTTGGCGCCATTAGCACTGCTTGTCAAATTTGCTTCCCTTGCTTCGAGTTTGCTTCTGCGTATCCCACGCAAAGAAAATTATTTCTCCAAGAACCTAGCGGGAACACTTACGCTTGTGCTTGCATAGCCAATCCCTTGTCCAATGGAGTCGGGTCGAAGGCATTTTGCAAGCGGTCATTGAGAACGTCAACAACGTCCACACTTGAGAATGACCCGGTGCTGGATTCATAGTCGCCGCCAGCACTTCCGGTGCTGTAACTGAATCCAGCGGAGGTGCGGCTGCCGGTGGTTGTGCTTGCATCAGAAAGGTCTGGCGGAGAGCCTGACACCCGGCTGATGGGGTAGAGATTTGCGGGCCCTGGGGTCTTTGAGGGAACATTCATTGGAAGAACAGGGGACTGGAAGTGGTGAGTCGTCATTGTGACAAGATAGTACAGCCCGAACGGGTAATGAGCGCAAGAAGGAAGGTCTTCTGGAGCGGAAGTATGATATGAAGAGGCTTGTCAAGACAAGCTGAGAAGATATCCAATGGCCGGAAGAGTGAAGCTGAGAGATAGAAAAGGAAGAGGGAGGAAAGGGTAGGTCGGCATGAAAGTTGAGGGCTTTTATAGCCCTCAGCGGAGGGTCTTCCATCCGGCGGAACCCCCCTGGAGGACGACGACGGGGACAAGGAAGGATGAAGAGGAGGGGGTGGATGTGATGGGCAGGTCAATCATTGGGCAAGTCACTATCACAGCGGCCTTTCTCCCGTAACCCCTCAACCCCCGATCACCCTGCTCCGTCCAGTTCCCTTCAGACCCAACCCCCCATTTCCGCCCCTCCGCTAATTTCTGGTCGCCAATTCGCTCCTTGTCCCGAATTGACCCCGCTCTGGGTGGGAAGACGAGAAGCTAAAGGAGCCAAATGGATGGCCGGAGACTGGGCCAGCCCTCGCTATCATCCTGTCGTTGGGACACAAGCCCACCCCGGTGGCAAGTTAGTGATTATGGGAATTGGGTTTGTCTTAAGTGCCATGTCCTTTTCCGTCGGGCTGAAAAGGAATTCGGCAAAGTGGTGGGGGGATTGCGAGAAAGGTATAAAAGCAGGGGAGTTGACGCCGGATAGGGCACGTCTGTCTGCTTGGAAATTTTATAGATAGGGCCGGCCACCGATGACGACTTGCTTCCCTCACGACCTTCCATACCGTTTTATTATTCCACCGGAAGAACCAAAGCCTTGGCCACCTATATCGGCATGTTCTTTTTCTTTTTTCTTTTTTTTTTTCAAAAAAAAATCTCACGCTTCTTTTTCCAGCTTTACTTGCTCACCGGGCCTGCCCTCTGCCGATATCAGGGGGCTGGGTGGCTGGGGAAATGCGACAGCCCGGAGGGAAGAAAGAGGGTGGCAGAGCGTGAAACAGATACGTCGGTGGTCGCTAAATACCGAGGAAGCCCCAAATTACCGTGGCGGCCAAATGATCCTTCACACTGGTGCGCGCCTGCCTTTGTGTTAAGTATAAGAAGGAATGTCTGCTTGTCCTTTGTTCTACCGGGTATATCTTGTTGTTTCTGCGGGAGAATGCTGGGGTGAGTGAATGAGGTAAGACCGTGTTATCTTGGAAACTTTAGTCCGCGCCTGTGACTTGGTGCCCAATACCTTCCGATGCCTTTTTCCTTTTGCAAATCCGCGGCAGATGGGAAGATACAGTGTGATATGCGGGGGCTGACGCAATCACAGAGTGTGGAATATGAGAAGATGCCGGGAGGTATCAAACACCAAGGCAGTTGGACACCAGTGCATGAGCTGAGGCCCAAGAGAGGCCCAAGAGTACGCCAAATGCCTTTGTTTTCGGCCCCAGGTTTGTCAAGTACCGCGCCGGTACGAACAGCCTGAAATCGATCAAGTGGCACGGTGTTTGAGAGAGAGACCGTGACCGTGTAACGGGAAATTTCCCTCCACCCTGGTCGAGGGAAGGAGCGTCGGATAGGCTGGCATTCAGAGTTTTTCTTGATGTCCGCACTTCGGCGGTTGTTACCTACTTGGACCTCGATCCCAGGAAACAGCTTCACACAAGGGCGACCAGGTCAAGCTGCGGAAAACAAGACGGCCACAAGCGCTTTAGACGCGGCCAGCATAGGGTGCTCGACGGAGAACTCGTTCAGGTGGACCTAGTTCGACCTATGTACAGGAACAGGCAACCTGTCTACTCAGCCGCCAAACAAAGACCGAAAACGGCACGACAACGAGCATCCTTTTCCTGCTCGCTGAGCTTTCGGACGGAGAAAAGCCCGAGGCACACCTGCAGAGAGTGGAGAAAGAAAACCAATTCACCATTTGGCACAAATCACCACCTCCCAACTTCATCTGCTGACATGACATGACATGACAGTCCCGGGCATGGTCTCGGACACAGGAAGTGCAGGTCTGCACGTTTTCAACTGGGCCATTGATTTGGGTTGGATAGACCAACGCCACTCAAGCTCTTGGGCTTTCTCACGATAACATCTATCGGTAATCCACCGAAACCACTGAGATCCCAGTTGCCGGGGCCTCGTATGCAAGCACCATATGTTGCCAATGCCCAACATGATTGCAGCCTCGCACCGTTGCAATTTTCGCCTTATCCGTTGGCCAGTTCTTCCTCCCGTTCGAAAGATGTCTGAACTCCTCCAAACAGAAAAAGCTTCGCAGATTGACTGCGACAAGATGACGCTGTTTTATCCTCAGGCATGGGCCCAACTGGGGTATTCGGTAATACAGAAGCCCAACAATACCGAACGCAGAATTCAGGATTTATGTACGGTAAGTTTTTGAAGTCGTTGATTTTCAAAGCACGGTCTCGACCGTTTCCTTGTCCTGGAATCTTTGGCCCACCTTTCCCTCCTGTTGCTATCTGATGCAGTGTCTCGCAAGTCCCAACAGATCACTGGAGCCACGAAGGCAAGAGCAGTCTCTTGGTATTCAGACTCCGAGTACTCCGTTTTAATCGAGCGGCTCGCAAAACTTCCTGGTACACCTCCTACTCGGGTAGCCTTATGCACCATTCTGCTCGACATTTCGCCCATGTTGCATCGGCTCAGCCATCATCAATCGCGCACCTTTCTGGGACATTTTCCTCTCTCCTTTTTTCCCCCTATCAAGCCCAGCCAAAATTCACTCCGAGACAGGCCTGCACAATATGACTGAAATCCCACCGTATGAGAATGGCTTAGTTTTGTGGTGGTTGCACTTTTTTTGTTTTGTTCGTCTGAAACAACATCGACTCTAGTATCACCCATTTTCCAGTATCCATGATTCAGGATCATCAGCACCGTCATTCTCCTCCTCAAAAGCGATGATTATTTTTGACTTCTGAATGGCCATGAATGCAGATGGTGGATGCAACGAATGTGGGGTTACGTCGAATTCGCCTATCGCTCGTTTGCTCTTGCGCAGTTTCTCACCGCCACATGCAAACCTAACAGTGACTTGCCTCCATCCAGGCCAACCAGCCCGTCTTTCCCTCCACTGGGCCGTCGAAAGAGAACTTGCTTCCAGAGACTGGACCCTATCCCGCTTGCCCCTTCTTTCTGGCTTTCTACCAAGGAGCCGCGCAATCGATTCGCCTGATAGTAGGATGGAGTAGGAGAAAATGCAGCGTTTTCCCCTTCCGGCAAAGATGAATTTCAATCCTAACATCGGGCCATTCATGTGCCTTGTTGGCTTTACCCGGAGCTCAAGACGGCTTTTTACACGTGTCTTTGAAGTTGCGACATTGGACCCCTTGAACCCCCCAAGACCGTAAGCGGACGCTTTGTTAACCAGATAGATGTCTCGGCGAAGGTGATCATTGATATTCATTTTCCGTCCAAAGCAAAGCTCTCCAGTTTTATTGCCCAAGCCCATTGGTTTTCTTGATTACATTCACATTCCTCGGTTTTTATACGGTGTCCGACGCAAAGGGTTATTACTCAATTAGAGGCAGCGTGCTACTAGTATGTCCAATAAGTAATAGTAACCCTGGGAGGGTTCAGCCTTCCCCATCACATACACAATTCATTAATCACATAGTCATACAGTTAGATGTTTATATATAGACACGAGGATTTCACGAAGTTATATTCAAACAGTGCATCAAATTGCTATTTCAGGCGGGTATCCTTTCAAAAAAAAAAATATCACTAACAGCCCCTATATCTAACCATCCCAGCACATGTGTCACCAATCAATAATATAGAAGCAAATTTTCTCTACTCCGGCAAAGAAGAGAAAGAGTAAAACATGACTCGGGGGGTAGATGCGTGGAGGGAGGCGCCGTATGTGTGTAAGAGAGAGAAAAAAAAAAGAGGGCGGAAACAAGCGGGTGTCTGAGAATACAAAGTTCCGAAAGTAAAAAGTATGAAGGCAGAATCAAGTAGTGTCGTGTAAAATGTCGTTCAAAGATTTGGACGACGGCGCGCGAAGTTGAAGGTATAGGTACTGCCCAAGAAAGAAAGTAACCCTGATCAAAGCCGACGCCATGCAATGAGCTGAAAGGTCCAAAAGAACAAGACTCCTGAAATTGCAAACCCCCCTGATGCTCATTGGTATCCATAACACGCAAAGCCGAATGCAGATGCACGAGGGTGAAAAAAAAAAATGGAAGAAAAAGAAGAAGAAAACAAGACCGCAATCATTAGGTTAAATGGACAAGAACGCACTGAAATCAAGAGTTAGACTTGAAATCAGCCTGACGTGCAATCCATTCGACCACATCCGTCAACGCTAAATTCCCAGAGCAATAATGAACAAGAAGAAAAGCCGTGTCGCACGAACATCGTGGCCGTGAATGCATGACTCCGGGTAGGTCATTTGAAAAGGCGTATTGCATATCTCAAACCCCGATCAAGTAGCGACTGGCCTTTTTAAAAGCGAACCGTACACCAGATGAGCACTTCACCCTGTGCGATTGCTGTCCTCGCTTCCTTCCCTGAGTCGGTCTCGAAGTAGGAGCAGTGGTCGGGCGGGATCAAGAAGGCCCATCATCATCTTTCCCAATTCATTATGCTTGATTGGCTTTGTAACGTAATCATTGAATCCGGCGCGTGCTGCGTCCTCAATTTGATCTGTCATCGCATTGGCAGAGAGAGCCATGATTGGGATTTGGGGATAATGATTCTTCATTTCCCATGTACGAATTTCGCGGCATGTCTCGTAACCGTTCTTGATGGGCATTTGAATATCGCACTATAGGGTAATTAGTTGTGTAGATTTACGGACAGAGATACTCTAATGCTCACTATGATCAAGGAATAGTATCCTGGCTCTTTCGAGAAGACCATGTCCGTGCACCGCTGGCCATCGCCTGCAGTTTCTGCCATGACCTTGATCTTGTCGAGATACTTCATCATAACCTAAGAATCGTCAGCAAGGCTTATGTGAACAAAGCAAACCACTACCGGGGCGAAGTTGAAGCATTTAATTCACGTACCATGCGGTTTGTTTCATCGTCCTCAACAAGCAATACCCGGTAGCCCTTATTTCCAATCACCTCTTTCACCATTTTGGACATGGTCTTGAAGTTATTATTGATCTCGCGAGCCATGTCCTGGTTCCGATCCTTGCTGAGATCGCGTCTATTTCCTGGGTCGAAAATCGGCGAGAACGCAGAGGGTTTTACCGGTTTCGGTACGGTGAAAACACGCCGTCCGCTCGAAGAAAGCTCCTTGATACTGGAATTTATTTGTCGCTTTTGGTAGAGATCCGAGATAATGACGAGAGTTGGCGCCTTGTTTAGCTCGGAAGCCGCAACGAAGTTGACAGCTTCCATAACCTCATCAACATTAGGCAGATTGACCACGAGGTGTGTCACCTGAGAGCCTGAATCAAAGTCGGTTGAGTCCTTCCAGTCCTCGACATCGGGGAATGATGTGATTGAATGTTGAATCTCATGCGGGACTACTTGCTCGATGTGTTGCGTAATAGCTTCGCGTGTGTTTTCCAATGGACAGAGGATGACAATTGAATATGTGCCCTCACATTGTAAAGGCTCCAACTTCGATTCCACTTCAGTTGCAACGCCGGAAGACGGGGTAGCTGGTGCCTCAGGCTGGCTAGTTAGTGACTTGGAAGTGTCGACTCTAGTCATAGGGTCGATATTATGCACATCAGGGGTCGGCAGCGCAGAGGAGAAAGAAGAGCGTTCTGATGAGCCCCCAAGGCCAAAGCGAGCAGAAAGGTCTAAACTGGTTGGGGGCTGAGAGACCGGGGACTCTAGTGCTGGTGGAATGTCAGCAGCTTCCGCGGCCTTTGGATCCAATGTATCTTTGGACGAAAAAAGCAACTTTTGAAACGAGGTCGTTTTCGAAGGAGCACGTGTTTCTCGTGCAAAGGCACCCTCGCCAGGAGCCGGCGGCGGCGGGGCGTCGACTTTGACGTAGAACGAAAACTTAGCTCCTTGTCCCTCCTTACTGCTCGGGGTCAACCGACCACCGTGCATCTCGACCAGCTGCTTAGACAAGAACAAACCAAGCCCACTCCCCGCATTCTGCTGCGATGCATTTTGGCCCAGCTGGCTAAACCGTTGCATGAGCCGCTCAGCGTCTTGCGCGCTAAACCCTTTCCCTGTGTCAACAACGTCAAAATTCAATAATATTTCCGTTGGTTTCTGAAGGTCGCCATCGTGACGGATTGAACAACGGATGTGGATTTCCCCCTGTGCAGTAAACTTGACCGCATTGCCAACAAGATTTATCAGAATTTGTCTGATACGGAACCTATCGCCGATAACCATCGGGGGTACATCCACGTCCATGAGATAATTCATTTCAAGACCTTTATCGATGGCCCTGGAGGAGACTGTATCGATCACATCCTCGATTACTGATCGCACATGGAACCAGGAACTGACTAGAGACATTTTGCCAGCTTCGACTCTCGAGACATCCAAAATATTGTCAACCAGCTCTCGGAGATTTGTCGAACTGTTTTGGATCGTATCGAGCATCCGCCTCTGGTCTGTATCCAGCGAAGTATCAAGGATAAATGGGATGGTGCCAAGAATCCCGTTAAGCGGAGTGCGAATTTCGTGAGACATATTGCTGAAGAATTTGGTCTTCGACTCCATTTGGTTGTTGAGCTGTTGCATTGCCTTGTTGAGCTCCCTTTCAAGGTTCTTGCGATCATTGATATCAGTACAAGTACCATACCACGAGGCCTCGCCACTTCCGAAGCTGCTGGTTTCAACTCTAACCAAGCGAACAAGATGCCATCGAAAATCACCGCCCTTTGACCGAAGTCTGATTTCTGTCGAATAGAATACACGGCCATTTTCGTCTTGCTGGACGGAAGCGACACCCCGCTTGACAAGCTCATCTAAAGCCGGAGTTACACGATTGTCAAAACGCGAAGATTGAGATTCTGCTTTTGCTCCTAAGGCTTCAGACGACCCTTCTGATGATGGAGCCGTCATGGGAACTTTCTGAGATCCGGAAGCAAGATAAAGTGAGAGTAGACCACACTTTTCTAAATCGTCGTGATGTACGTGCTTCGCAAATCCAAAGTTAAGAGCGTCCTCAAGTTTCTGGCCGGTATATAGATGCCACTGCTCGTTCACGAAAATGAGACCGCGGAATTCAGTTGCTTCAAACACAATCTGTGGGACCGAATTTGAAAATGCCCGGTACTTAGCATCAATTGCAAACTTCTCTCTCTCCTGAGCAGCTTTCAGCTCAGTGACATGCTGCTCGTGTATATCGAGGAATGACCCGATCCAGTACAAAACCTCTCCCGTCGAGGAGAGTAATGGATTGGCCCGAAAAATGAACCAGCGATAAGCTGCCTCATCATTAAACCGCTTAACGCGGACTCGTTCCGTGAATTGTGAGCCCGTAAGCAATGCATTTGCCCACTGGTCAGCCACATGGTCACGTTCGCTGTTGTGGATATTTTGCCAAGGGTCCCTCAACTTTTGTTCCTGAGGTTGGCTTCGCCTATACGCATCAAACTTCGAATTAGTCCAAATGACCTCCCCACTTTGTGGTTTCGCGAGGAAAAGATGCAAAGGGACTGAGTTCAACATAAGCTGTGCCACTGTGTCGGTAAAAGGACGCGGTAGCTCGCGCTGGAGCTGGGCATAAAAGGAGTTATTGGAGTGGTTGCGCGAGGATGCCTGCGTTGGTGATACAACCGATGGGGGTTTAACCTCGTGGGGGGAGGTGATCGCCAAGCCTTGGTCCTGCATGGGAGGCTCCCAGGTTTTCCCGGGTGAAATAGCCGAAGGAGAGGCGACAGCCTGTCTCATCTTTGCCAGACGATGTTTAGGTTGACTAGCCGCTTCGCGGGAAGTTTTGGAGCGTGGAACGTTGAAATAGCTGTCGAAAGGTTCTTTGCCAGAAAACCGAGCACCTAGCCCGGGGGACTCAGACACATTCAAGGACGATCCACCGGCCATATTCGGATCAAGACAGGGGGTACCTAAAGCTGAGACTGAAGGGCTGAACCTGGCCGAGCTTCCCCTCTCATCAGGACTAGACAAACTGGCCCTCGCAGATAGAGAACCGTCTTCCGTTACCGTATAACTGACATGTCCACTAAGACCTGCAACAAGTTCTAGCTCGCTACTCTCGTCGGAAAATGTCCCACCGAGTCCGAGAAGGTTACCGTAACGAGGAACTTCAAGCCGGGACGCAAACTGTCGCTCGAGTTGACTATAATGTTGGGCCAGACAGAATGAGGTGGTGAGGTGAGGCATTAGAAAGGCTAGAGACTGCCTTAAATTAGAAGGATAAGGTATTGCCGGTGATAGTATCGAGATAACCGCTACAGGAAACCTTAATGGAGACGAAGCCGATTGTTTTGAAGGCCCAGCATGTAGCAATGGAATGTGAACAACAGATTTCGCCAAATCGACACCAATGGCCTCCAGGGGATCCGGGTTGGAGTAGTCATGCAACGGAGGACGTTTGGAGAAGGCGGTTTCGTCGACAGTATGGTTTGAGAAGAATGGATCTTGCTCAGGATGAGCGCGAGGCGCCGGAGAAGGTGCTGGAGACTGCGACCAAGGAGATGGAGGAATCTGTTCATACTCATCAAGGAACTCCATTAAAGGAAGGCGCTGGGGTTGACGGGCAGACGCGGCGGGGTTTGAAATAGATCTGGCCCTCGGGGCTGTTACATGGGAAGGCTCAGCCGTTGGTGTCACTTGGACTTTGTCTTCGGGGGTTTGAACGAGTTCATCATGAGGCTGCTTGGATGTTGAGGTATGGGAGTACTCTCGGGTCAATATCACAGGCTTCGTGCGCCCAAATAGTTTCACAACGCCAGTTCTCTTGATAAGAGGATCTTGTTCGACCTCCAGAGCTCTAGGCGTGGGGAAGACAGCGAGTCGGTCGCTTTGCGGGGGCACATTTGAGATGTCCAAAGGAGCTGTCTGGACGGGTGTTGGGTTTTGGCTATCTTGTTTCTTTGGTGTAGTGTCCGGCTTGTTGAGTGGGCTCTTTGCCCCAAGGAAGGCATTCTCATCTTTCAAGCGAGACGCTTGTCTCTCCTTGCCAAACCCAGCAAAGGAATGTCGTGAAAAGAGTGGCGGCCGGGCCAGAGAACTAGCTGGTGTCGCGAGACCAGCTGCCGTATCCGGCACAACGGGAACCTCCTTCTCTTTTTCCGTACGAACGAAAACCTTCGGGTTAGTCCCTTCAGTTTTGTCTGTATCATTCAACCCACGATGTAATTCATCGACTTCAGCAATATTCTCATTGTAAATCGCCTTCTGGCCCCAGGGGACGTTCTCAAGATCGGTTGAGTCGCCTGGTACAGCAAGTGATGCCCGCTCCACACCATAATGGGTCCGTAGTATCTGAACAACATTGGTCCACCAGGCATCAAGTCCTGGATCCGCATTAAGCTGCAATGTAAGCTCATAGAGGTTCGGACTCGGGTAGGCCGGGTCTTCCACCACGGGTTTATTATCTGGCGGTATGAAAGCCCGGTTGGAAGCTGGAAGTATGCCCGAAACAGCTTGTCCTTCGACGGGCAGTTGTGACGATGCGACAGGACCCTTTAGCTTGTCGGAGGGGAGAGTCAGCTTGAAGGAGCCGTTGTTCAACTGGGAGAAAAGCTTCTGTTTCGTTGTTTGCCGCGGCATCTCTGGGAACGGGTACGACGGGGTTCTCTCGGGTAACGCTTCGGGGGTTGTTTGGGAATCCGTGCCTCGAATTGTGCCACTGGATCCGGCTGAATCGGACGCTCCTGTGAGGGATGGTGCGACTTGCGGCGACAATACATTTGAAATTCGTCTCTTCTTGGTCGACTCCTGGGGAACGGATGTAACGGAACCCTGCGACGGAGCGGTTTCCTGGGGTTCGGAAGAGCCTTGGTGCTCTGACTTGCGCATCTGCTGGTATGCAAGCAAATCTTCCATCTGCCGGCGGAGGTCTTTCAGGGTTGGCTGGCTTCGACCCAGATCCTCCTCAAATCCGTTCCTCGCATCCAAGTTCTCCAAATTCTCTTGCTCGACTGAGGGGGGTATCCGGTGTTGAGTCGCGGTCTGTTCGAGCAGCGCAGAATAATGCGGAGAGTTAGCCTTCCAATTGTCATCTTTCGACTGATAGATTCCATCGACTGTATATGGACCATCTTCATCGTGGGCAAAACTGGAAAGTGATTGGGAAAAGAAATGGTGGTGGGACGGAGAAGCGGCAACAGAAGGGGCCTCAGCCGGCGATGGAAACGGAGGCGTTCTCATGCTGTAAACTTCCCCCATGGTACACCTCCTCCCACCGCCGGACAGTTATTCAATTCTCCTGGGCGAATCCAACTCCACAGAGGTGAATGGGGAACTCATCGCTCGGACGGAAAGAGCCCGCGATCAGGGAAGGGAGGATTTGGCGCAGGTCAACCCAAAAAGAGCAACTGCGGACAGGATCGGGGTACGAGGGACCACAACGATATATCCCTTTTTCAGAGATATATGCGTGTGTATACAAGGGGAGAATGCCACAAAGCAAAGAGGGGCGGTGAAGGGTTAAGGGGTGGGTAGGTGGGTGACAACTAAAAGACCACAAAAAAGCCTGTCTATAGGTCAGACAGGGCTAAGGGGAGGAAACATGTAATTAACCCGAACCGGGGTGGGTGGGAAAGATAAAAGAGCAGAAGAAGAAAAAGGTACCAGGAAAGAAATAGCGGGAAATGGAGAGGGTGAGGAACAACAAGCGCAAGAAAGGGCAAGGGCAGGTGACCGCAGGGGAGGATCAGTTGAAGGAGTTGAAGCGGTGTATAGTTAAAGTCGGCAGAGCGATGACAGCCCAAAGCGACGGGGATATGGAGGAACACCAAACTGACCTTTCTTCTTTTCGCCGGGGGAGCAATAATGTTGGAACCTCGAGGAATGAGCGGTGCTCAGTTGGAGGAATATTCTTACAGATCGCCAGCGACTCCGAGTGTGATTCTTGAGGTGGGAAAGGAATAATGGAATGGAAAATGGGCCGTCTTCCGGGGCGCTCCTCCAGCCTATGACGTAGTGCAAGGCCCTGGGGTTCTGCGAAACCGCGGTAACGGCTAGCGAAGTAACAGGTATCTGTTCCAGAAGAACGCTGGGGCTGGGTGGGGAGCTGATTCAAGGCGACAGCAGTGACGACTGACGACGCGTCGGACAGAGACGGGGAAGGAGGAATTACGCTTTGCAGTAGGCTCGCCCTGAGAATTGAGGTGCAGAAGCAGAAGCCGAGTGGAAGGTCACGATGGAGTCAAATTCGGAAAGGAAGTAGGATACTCCGCGAGGTACAGCGCTCATAGGTACGGCTGCGGAGGCAGGAATTGGGACGGCTCGAGTCAATATATTATTATTGTTGTAATTATGGATCTTCTCAGGCGTCAGTCAAAACTCAGAACTAAGGCGAAGCATCCCCGCCATCCTCATGGGAGCCCTCTTCTCATTGGGGTCTGTAGTCTGCACGATATCGGACCCGTCCTCGTGTGGGAACCGGGAACCCCCAGGAGTCGATGGTAAAAAAATACAGATTCCTCGGCGACTTCCCGAAAGCTGGGTACTTGCTCAGTACGACGACATACGTGTTTCTACGGGCTAGGGCGGTTCTTCTTGGTCCTCCCAGCAGAGCGGCAGCCGTTTTTATTTTTATTTCTATTTTATATCGGGGGAAACGGCGATAGTGCGCTTTGGATTATTATTACAGTGGGGAGCGGATTCAAGCTCGAGACAATGAAAGGAATGATGTAATGCCGCTTGGCACCAACTCTCCTCTCCATAAATAATCCCGGCTATTAATGTTGCATGCTTTCTGGAAGCCAGAGGCCATCGGCCAAATGACGGAGTATTTTATTTTATTATTTCCATTCTTGACCTACCAGCAGCGCACCGCGGTCTTCTTCGGGGTGTGCCCCTGAAAGTGTCAATGAGGTGACTTGGAGCAGACTCGAAGAGAGCACTGGCCATGCGCCTGGAATAGAAACAGCAATAGTCGGCTAATAGTTGGCTGTCGGATCACTGGAGTGACAATCCCTCCATCGTCCAGCCCCTTTGGGAAGAACCCTCATCGAGACTGGTAACGATCGTGTATTCTTTGGGAGCGCTTCGGAGTTGATTGACAGAAGATCAGGGAGACGGGGAGACAAGAGTCAAGCAGCAACTGTGACGGAATGGGCTTGACTAGGGCGCTGAAATCAGTGCTAGTCCAACTCCTGTTCTCCACTGACGCACTGCGCACGCATCCCATGGTCACTTGGGCAGCATTAGCGACTCGGCCGGGCGCCCTGCCACATATTTCTATCATGCTAGGGGCGGGATGATTAAGATTCAGGTGGCCTGGCGAACCCGATTGATTCGCGCCAACCGCCTTGAAAATACATGATGAATCTGCCGGCCTACTGAAGCAGAACTCAGGGGAAAACCCAGACAGATTCTGTCGGGTGGAAAACGCCTGGGGTTCCAATTGAACTCCTGTCGCCGTCCACGGTCCAGTAAATCGATGCCGTCATTAACTTAACGCCCCGTCTAACGGAACTCTATCATCTCACTAGAAAGTTCTCGATGGCCTTGGTTTACGTTAGTCGACCCCCGCGTTTCGACCCCCAAGGCACGCGTTGATCCTGATCGGACCCGACACAAAGATTACGGTGAGGTTTCTGCGCCCCAACAGGGCTTCTTCAAGCCGAAGGAGGACGCTTGAAACGTTCCCCTCCCCAATCCATCCTAAATGACGAATCAGTTTGACAAGACTCTGATTTCCAGACAATCATTATGGATTGTTTTGGGAGGTCCAAAACACGTATTTTCCCTTAAATAATTTAAAAATTAAAATGAAAGACAAAACGAACCTCGGACCCGGGTTTCAGCTATCCACCAGCGCCACAGAGAATACCAACAACGATGCTCCGTAGTTAAATCGAATTTTTTGAGACAGGATTCAGTCCTTTGATAATATTAACAAATGACTGAGACAGTAGTCAAACGTTGGGGGATCTTAACGGTTCATTTGGTGCTACTTGGTTGTCCGAAAATCAATATGGAACCATTCATCATACTTTTTGCCTCGATGGATTATTGTGCACACCGCAACATTTGCTCCGAGTGTCAAAACCATCAATTCCATTGTTCCCCAGAGATTCAACGCTGCCAAGAACGCCTCGCCCGATGGAGTGTTCAGGTTTCATCCGCGAACCTGGCAGCAGGTACGACGGTACCGTCATTGTGGATTAATTCGAGGTACCTTATATAATTACATTCCAGTCCTTGTTTAAAGTCTCAAAATCAGCGACGGGGATACTGGAGTTAGTTTCCATCAAATGAATAATCCTCAATCAAGTCAGTTCATTGCGCTCCATCTGCTAGGCCAAATACCTTGGCTTTACTCGGTAGACATAATTATGGCACCTTGAAAATTAGAACCGTTTTGTTTTTGTGACCTGCCGACCGGAAATATATTCCTCAGACCGCGCGCGGCTTGGATGCCAGAAATTCTTCACGCGGGTGCTTAAAAAAGGGACACCAAAGTCCAAAACACTGTCCATGTAGATATGCTCATGCTCCTGACTTAATCCGAATGACAACCATCTTTCATCTACGGTCTACACTCTGTACACGTCCTCTGTCTCCAAGTGTTCTGCACAGCTGATCTCCCGCGCCTAAGCCCGTGATCCTCGAAGCGGCAGCTGACTAAGCCAAGTTCCCCATCGCAGATGGTCCAGATTCGGGCTGAAATTGGCCTGGAGACCTGATGAGAACATCCTCTTTGAGGTCCAGTACTGTCCGTGGCTTGCATTCTGATTGATGACACGTTAGGTGAACGCCCCCTGCATTTCATTCTCGGACCTCTGTGTCGAAGCTAACACTGCGGCCGTCCTGCAGACTGAAACGTGGGCCGTTTTTTGGTTCCTCGCACGGGCAAACCTCTCCCCCCTCCGTCCTTGGCGAAGGCTGCTTTCGTCGACCTGATGACCGTCAGCTTCTTCTTCGATCCTAGCCCTGCTCTTGATTCTTTCCTGTGACGATCTCTATCATACGACGTTACCTATGGCCGTATAAGTGAGGGGTGGCTAGACTAGCGAGGATATTTTGTGCACCCATTCGGCGGAGATGGACGATAGCCATATCCTTGGTGAGGATCTGCCCCTCCCACCGGCGCGGCTTTTCCAAAGGCTCGCGCAACTGCCTGGATATTCCTGGGACCAGTCCTCCGAACCTGTCCATTCAACATATAATCACTGGCATGTCCTTGGTCTCCGACATGCTGCGGACCCCGAAGGTTCCACGCCGCTTGCGACGTCGTCCGGACCGTCGAGTATAGCTCGCAGCTCCCCCCGAACCGACTCACGACCTCCCTTCCGTCATCATTGGAGAAGCAGCTTGAGCGAGTCTAGTAGCGAGTTATCGCTTTCTCGCCTAGATCATGAATTTATATGGATTCCGGTCATCGCCAGGGTCTCGTCGCACGTCGTGAGGTTAGAACGCGAGTTCCATATGATGAGATCAATCGTGCAAACATCAGATCCGGACTGCAACTATACAATGCGGCCACTTGACCTCATTCGTTTGCCTCCAGACCCTGACGATGCAGGCCCTCTGTTGGTGGCAATTTTCGAGTCTCCGGGACAGAACATGTTGCGAGAGTTGGTCGCGTTTGGGCCAGCCTGGTTTGCAGTTGGTGGCAGAGGCGATAGCGTGGAGCCAAGTCCTGGAGAGCAGGTTTCTCTCTCGGTGTTCCTTGACTTTTCCATCGGCGCGTGTGACTGCCTAGAACTACTCCACTACGGGTTGAAGACTGTTCACGGCGAAATTCGACCAGATGCTTTCCACTTCAATAGAGAGGCTGGGTCCGTGAAGCTGATGAATACTGGCAATGGCGCCAAAGCTTTCGACAATGTGCTGAGCGAGGGCTGGCTTACAATATCGAGGGAGCTTGGAGTGAAAAACAAGTTGCAGTTTATTGCACCGGAGCAGACGGGGAGAATGCCAACCGAACCTGATAGTCGAACAGATATCTACGCCCTGGGGGTTCTTTTCTGGACAATGCTGGTTGGGAGGCCTGCTTTTACTGGTACCGATCCAGTTGAAGTTGTCCAGAATGTCCTCGGAAAGAAGCTGCCGCCAGTTTCATCCAAGAGAATGGATATTCCGGACGCGGTTTCAGCAGTAATTCAGAAAATGACGCATAAGGCGGTCAATGAGCGATACCACACCATATCCTCCGTCAAAAGGGATCTTTCTCAGATTTCTCAGCTGCTTGGTGATGGTGATAGTGAGGCTCTGAAAGATTTCCAGGTTGCTCAGCGTGATGTCTCATCATTTTTCACCCTTCCAACTAAGATGTTTGGCCGTCAAGGGGAATATGATAAAATATTGAGTGTGGTTGAAAAGGTGTCTAAACGCCAGCAGTCATCCTACTCAAAAGTTGCTACTCAATTTTCAGGTAGAATTGGGTCGAACTCCTCTCTGTCGGAGGGACGCGTTGACAGCTTTGATTTCGCGTCAGTTTCAAGTGACTCTGGCTCATTCCAGTTAAACCCCAGAACTAATACCAACCTTGGACGTGCATCTACCCACGAATCCCTCCATAGCACCGAGTCATCACTTTCCATGCCGAAACCTACTTCGAACAAAGCAAGGAGCCCCGCGGATTCGCGCTTGAATTGGGACAATGGAGATCAGGAAACGCCATCTTCTGGTGTAACTGTAACGAGCTCGCAGGGGCACGAAAGTCCCCTCGTTCCCGTCAATCGACATAAAGTTCAACAAAAACTCCGTCGGTATGGAAAATGTGAAGTCATCACGATCAGTGGTGCGGCCGGTATGGGGAAAACTGATTTACTGAACCGTATCCAACCAGCAATACGTAAATTGGGCTATTTCGGCATTGCCCGGCTGGACCGGGCAAGAAGGGTCCCTTTCGAGCCCTTTGCAAAGGTCCTTGCTAGCCTACTTCGTCAGGTGTTTTCCGAGCGGGATGTGACCACGGATTACCATAACACCGTCCGCTGCGCGCTGAGACCGATGTGGTCGACTTTACATCGAGTTTTGGAGCTCCCAGAGCAACTTATGTCTCCAGGAACCACTGACAAACAGGTGTCTCCCAAATCTACGGCAGCCCAGCATATTTTCAGAGACTTGACGAGGGGTGAGCCGTCGAAGCGGACGCCCCTCCCGCGGCTTGACCACGGGCAAAGTTCTGTGGACTTCTTTCTGACCAATGCGGCCTCAAAGAACATGCGACTAATGGAAACATTTTTGGAAATTCTAAAAATACTCTCCCAATTCAAATTGATCTGCGTGTGCATTGATGATTTGCATTTCGCTGACGATGAGACTATGGAGTTGATAACCAACATTGTCAAAGCCAGAATCCCGTGTGCTCTTATTCTTACGGGCCGGAGGTCGGAAATCGATTCCGGCGCGATAAAGTCGTTCTTTGAAGATGACAACCCCACAGTGACACGGGTAGTACTGAAACCACTCAATGAAGACGAAGTGATGGAAGTCGTGGCAGCAACGATGCATCAGCCTCCAAACCCAATGCTGACACCCCTTGCAGCCGTCATCCAGGAAAAGAGCGTGGGCAATCCTTTCTATGTGCGCATGATGCTGGACACTTGTTATAATAAGAATTGTATCTGGTACTCTTGGAAAAACTCGATATGGGAGTTTGACCTCGACCGGATTTTCACTGAATTCGTGGCCCCCAGATATGGCGAAGGTTTGGGGATTGGGTTTATCACCAAACGTCTACAAGAGATTCCGCCGGCGGCACGCTCAATCCTCGTTTGGGGTGCTTTGTTGGGCAGTCCTTTTTCATTTTCTTTGGTGCAAAAGCTCCTCACGAGCGAGTTCCTATACTCTAGCGAGGATGATGAGGCGGTGGACCTCACATGCCCCCAAAACGCGAACCTCATTCGACAGTCCGAGGCTGATATTGTCGTTGGGTTGCAATATGCGGTACAAGCGAACCTCATCAACCCCGGAAGTACCGACGATGAATTCAGGTATGTGCCAGATGTTAAGTCTGCTATCTAACAATATTCTAATTAGAGATCGTAGGTTTGCCAATGATCGGCTCGTACAAGCTGCGTCATCGTTGACCGAAGGGCGTAATGTTGAGAAAATGCATTTTATCATATCTCAAGCAATGAGGAAATACTATCACGACGGTCGAAGCCGCTACTCAATAGCACGACATATTGCTCTGGGGTCTCGAATCATCAAGTCTCGTGTTGTCGAAAGGCTTGAGTATAGAAAAATCCTTTGGGATGCCGCGCAAACCGCTGCCCAATCAGGGGCGCGCCCGACTGCCCTCTGGTACTACCGGCACTGTATCGCGTTTCTCCAGGATAATCCATGGGATGACAATTGCATTGATGTCTACTATGACGAAACGTTACGCCTTCATATATCTACAGCTGAAATGGCTTGGTCTCAAGGGTTCAACAACGAAGCTCTCGACTTGCTTTACAAAGTATTCCAGCATGGGAAAACGGCCGTTTGCAAATCAAGAGCTTGGATTATCAAGGCAAAGATATACGCCCAGCTAGGCGACCATCCTCGTTCCATGGACTCGCTACTTACGTGTTTGGAAGAGCTCGGCATCCATCTTCGAGGATCGACCAGTTACGAAGAGTGTGATGTTGCCTACAACAAGCTTAAAGGCCATCTCGACCAGACGGATATAATGGCGATTGCTCGCAAGCCTATCAGCAAAGACATCAACACGATCACAATTGGGATAGTGATGGCAGAGGCCATGTCGGTAACCTTCTGGGATGATGGCCTAACCTTCTACAGAATGGCGATTGAGATGATGAATCTTCACCTTTTCCGAGGAGGGTTTGTCCAAATCTGCATCGGCTGCTCCCACCTTGCTATGATCTCATTTAGCAGGTTTCGTGATCTTAACCTGGCTGTAAAGCTCAGTGAACTGTCCGTTTCCCTGCTCGACCGATGCCCTGAGTTATGGACTCGCAGTCGAGGATCTGTCGTTTATAATTTCTATATTGGCCATTTGCGGGGACCTCTTGCAGCTACACTCCCGGCTCTTGAAAACTCCGTTGAGACGTCGCTTACCTTGGGCGATCCATACATAGCGTTAATTACCATCTCATCGATGGGCATGACGAGGCTATTCCTTGGTCACGATCTTGTCCAGGTTGAAGCGTTCTGCAATGAAAGTGCAGAGGAAATCAATGACTGGGCTTCTGATACTCGTGGTGGGGCCTCGCTTGTTACTGTTAGGTAAGGCATCCTCGACCAGAGACTACTGTTTAAAGGAATTGCGCGCGTGAAACTAACCATTTTCTGCAGACAAGTAGCGCGGGCCCTACAAGGGAAGACTGAATATAAAGCGGCTGATACGGTGATGAATGACGAGAACCACAACACCGCCGAATATCTCGAGTACCTAAAAATGAACGCCAGTAATCCTGACCGCCCTCGCGACATCTATAATGCCCTCGCGATGATTCCGTTATATCTATACGGGCATCATGAGAAGGCCATAGAGCTGGCCGCGCAAATGGACGATAGTATATGCAGACTTTGGTCCTCTCGGATTTCCTACCTTTTGTATTTTTACTCCGCACTTTCCCACTTGACTTTGCATAATGACAATCCGACAAAATGCTATCTCGACGGAAAGCTGGAGACTGTCCTCAAGTACAAAGCGGAAATCGACTTTGCGCGGGAGGCATGCGATGCTAATTACGGAATGTGGTCTTTGATTTTGCAAGCGTTAATATATGAGGTCCAACATGATCATGCATCTGCGCTCCAAACCTTTGAAGTAAGTTGACATCAATGCAAAGCTGTGCCTCTTGATTAACATGAGTGTTTCAGGCCGCAATCGACCACTGCCAAATACATCAGTACCCGATGGAAGAAGCTCTCGCACTGGAGCTCTATGGTACGTGTTGCACATTTTTTCTCTTTTTCATATTTGATATTCTCTTCAGCTAACGTCAATTACAGGAGAGTTCCTGGTCCGTCGTGGAGCAAAAAGAGGAGCTCGTTCCGTGATGCAGGACGCTATCAACGCCTGGGCGGCGATAAGCGCCGTCGGAAAGGCAGCTCAACTGACTGAAAAGCACGAATGGCTATTGAGAACAGCCACATCGTGCCGGGCCGTGGATGTTGGCTGCCAAACGGTCGATTCGCTCCTTGGAATCAATCAGGGCGTTGCACAGGAGCACATTGGAACAACTCAACCTATGCACGAGGACGATCGGAAAAATCGCTGGCTTGAGCAAAGCGGTACTACACCGGGCGAGCACTCGCTTGATATATCGGGTGTTGGACTTGGTAAGGCTCTAAAAAAACACCATATTTCAATGTATCTGTGCTAACATCTTGCAGATATCATCGATCTATCGAGCATACTTGAATCCAGCCAAGTGATGTCTTCTGAACTTCAGATTGACAAACTTCTGACGAAGATGATCGAGATTGTCCTGGAGTCGTGTAACGGGTCTGACTTCGCTGTAATTGCAACCAACTTTGACAATAACTTTACAATTACTGCCGCGGGCGACCTTGAAAAGGGCCAGAGATCGTTTGTTGACGGTCTGCCATTCTCTGAAATGGAAGACAAAATGGCTCAACAAATAACCCATTATGTCATGCGCACTCGAGAAGAAGTCCTCGTTCACAATGTTCTAGAGGACGAGCGTTTCTCCAACGTGTCTGAAGCCTACCAAGCCCGGAACACTCTCAGCCGGTCTGTGATTGCACTGCCCATCATGCAGGGAGAACATCTTCTCGGAGTGATCCAAGTCGAGGGGAAACCAAATTCATTTACTCAACGAAATCTCGTTGTGCTGCATCTCTTATGCAATCAAATCGGGATCTCATTGTCGAATGCGTTGCTCTTCCGCGAAATCCGTAAAGTCAGTGCGACGAATGCCTCGATGGTCGAAACTCAAAAGCGAGCTCTTTCGCAGGCTCGAGAGGCCGAACAAAAATCCAAGGTGGCGGAAGCGGAAGCTAAACACAATGTGAAGCTGAAGGAGGATGCTGCAAAGGCGAAGTCAATATTCCTTGCCAACATTTCTCACGATCTGAGAACGCCAATGAATGGTGTTATCGGTCTCTCCGAGCTGCTCAAGGGAACGAAATTAGATCAGGAGCAGGATGAATACGTTGAGTCGATTCGTGTCTGCGCGGATACATTGCTTACTCTCATAAACGACATTTTGGACTTCTCCAAACTCGAGGCGGGCAAGATGAAGATCTCTACCGTTCCATTGAACATTAGAGAGACAATTTCAGAAGTCGTCCGGGCGCTCCGCTACACCCATCGAGACCGAGGGTTGGAAACGATCGAGGATCTAGATAACGTCCCGCCGGACCTTGTTGTGCTTGGTGATCCTGTTCGACTTCACCAGATCTTCATGAATCTCCTAAGTAACAGCTACAAGTTCACGCCGAAGGGATCTGTAACTGTTTCAGCAAAGGTATCCCGAGAAGGCAAGGGCCGCGTTCGTCTTGAATGCTCGGTGTCTGACACGGGTATTGGAATCCCCGACGAGCAAAAACCCCGGCTTTTCAGGCCGTTTTCGCAGGCAGATAGCTCGACAGCAAGATCTTATGGTGGCAGTGGTCTTGGGCTGAGCATTTGCAAGGCCATCATCGAAGACGTCCTCGGTGGTGCTATTTGGCTCGATTCGACTCCTGGTGCAGGGACTACAGTCACATTCCATCTGTCCTTCAACAAGGTCAAGAGTGAGATGGGGAAGACGCCGTGGTCCAAAGCAACATTGAACGACAAGACTGCTCCTCGGCCTGTCGTACGGGACCTGAGTATGGTCCCTCGGGATCAAATCCGAGTATGCATCGCCGAAGATAATCCCATCAACCAAAAGATCGCCGTCAGATTCGTGACATCGCTCGGCCTACAATGCGAAGCATGCAGCGACGGACAGCAGGCCGTCGACGCCTTGAGAGCGCGCTCGCAGGAGGGAAATCCATTCCATGTCGTCTTGATGGACGTCCAAATGCCCACTCTGGATGGATACAACGCGACGCGTGAAATACGACGGGACTCAGACCCCAACGTCAATGAGGTCCTTGTTATTGCAATGACTGCGAGCGCTATTGAAGGTGACCGCGAGAAATGCCTCGAAGCGGGGATGAACAATTACCTCCCTAAGCCGGTTCGATCGAACATCCTGAGCGATATGCTAGACAACTATCTCGCACCGGTGCCGACATTTACAAAAACACGACTGGCTGTGCGGGGAAGAGGAAGTGTAAGCACTGACTCGGGGGTGTCGAATAGCGCCGCCTCACCTATGCCGTCGTCTAGCCCCGATGAGAATGTGGCTCCAGAAGAGAACAATCATAACTGAGCCAAGAGCTTGTCTTGCTATCCTGCTACCCGTCACGAAGCTGACCCACGGCACTGGCGGCCATGGACGAGTATTGCTATTCTGTTAACACCGTATTACTACCCCCCAGTGTGTGCCTTTTAATTGCGGAGATCTAGCGTTATTCCTATTCGTTTGTATAATGAGATAGATATTTCTACTTGAGATCTTGGGCGACGATTCTGCATTTTGATATCCATTGGAGTTTTACTAAGTTGCGTTATTGTTTTAACCAGCAATATCATTTTCATTCTCGACATTATTGGGGTTTCTTGAACGACCTTGATGATTGCCATGCTGTATCGAGTCATGATTCTATTTATGTGATGATAATCAAAAGCACGATTTGACGAGATCTCATCCACAGTAAGCGAGACGCTCAAGATAAACAGAAGCGGGCGTCATTCCGTCTTGCCAAACCTTCTACCGCCACCTCTTTTTCACGTCTACTGGGCAATCAAATGCTCAAACAGCGCCTTCAAATAATACGCTGATTGCTTCGGATACCGGATCTTCTCTGCAGAGTCAAAATCCACAAAAGTGCTCCCGAATCGATCAGTGAAGCCCGCGGCCCATTCTGCCTCCAGTCAGTTTGCAAACAACCAAGTGAATCTTGAAGACTTTGGACATACCCCAGTTATCAGTAAAGGTCCACGCAAAGTACGAACGGACATCAACTCCATCCTCTTTAACAGCTCGGGCCAACCCACCAACATATCCTTCGAAGAATCGCATCCGAAACGTGTCATTGAGCACCTCTGCAGTCGGTGCTGTTTCACCTTTCGCTGTCGTGCCGTTCTCAGTCACATAGATGGGCATATGGTACCGGTTCCAGATCCAGTTCAGTAGCTTTCGCCATCCAGCCGGTGCCATCCGCAGCCAGTGGGTGTCCGACTCCTCACCACGAGAGACACCCTTACTGTTCGTATCGTGGACAATGACATTGCCCTTGTGGTCGTTTATGTCCGCGGGAGTATCCTTATGCTGCACGAAAAAGGTAGTGTAGGAGTTCATGCCGTAGAACTCGGAGCTCCCCAGTACGAGCTCTGATTCTTCTGGAGTAAAGCGTGGTAGACGATCACCGAGTTGAGCTCGCATCGAGGCTGGATAGTCTCCGGTCTTGTATAACGGATCAGCGAACCAGGCGATCTCGAACTCGCGTGCCCGCTCTGCCGTCTTCTGATCCCGCTCATCGTCCATGTCCCATGGCTCGGACCAGTTACCGTGCAGAGTAATGCCGATTGTTCCTCCCTGCTGCGGCTGGAACTCTTCACGATAGAGCTTTGATGCGTGCCCGTGAGCAATTAGCTCTGTATGGCCGACGATAAAAGGCTCCGTAGAGGAATCTCCCTGCTCGTTGCGGTCTCGATAAGAGGATCTCGCTGGGGCATGGACGCCGGCCGCGTAGCCAGCCAGTGAGTAGACCCCGGGCTCGTTGAACGTGATCCAGTGGCGAACTCGCGGCCCTAGTCGTTCGAAACAGACGCGCGCATACCGGAGAAAATCAGGGACGAACCTCTCCTGGTTCAGCATGCCACCGTACCGGTCTTCCAGGGCTTGGGGAACGTCCCAGTGAAAGAGAGTCACAAACGGCGTGATATCATTTCGGAGCAGCTCATCGATGAGATCCTGATAGAACTTGACTCCTTGCTCGTTGATGGGATCATCGGCACCGCCGAGAGGGATGATACGTGACCAAGATAGCGAGAAGCGGTAGGCGTTGACACCGTATGACTTCATCAAGGCCACATCTTCACGGTAAAGGTCGTACGACCGTATTGTGTCGTCGGCCGTGCTTTTATCTTTGACTTTTCCTGGAGTGTGGCCGAATGTGTCCCATATTGAAGGCCCTTTGCCATCTTTGTTCCAGGCGCCTTCGATCTGCGGTGCTGCGGTGGCATAGCCGTGGAAGAAGTCGTTGCGTAAAGCGCCTTTCAGGTCTTGCACCGGAGTTAAGTCCATGGCCATATTTGACTGCACTATTTTGTTATATCTCGTTCTTTGCTGGCTTGTTCTAACGTGAGGCCTGCCATAGAGGAGCTTTCGAAGCCACCGACGATTCAAACAAATAGCCCATGGGTCTCGGGCTTTTATTCGGATAAATGTAGCCTTGGCCTTGGAAGAGCGCCGGTGATTGTTGGAAATCATCCATGGCCATTTTTTCCGGCGGGGTGTGCAGGAGGGGTTGGTTGTTTTGGCGATGGCGCTGGAAGCTCCTGAAAGCGCCACAGGATTAAGCGTCCTTGGACTCTCAGATCGAAACTGGGCCGTGGCCGGAGGGGACTGAAGGATATGCATTGTATCTGCCATAATATTCCGTTTCTAATCGTTCCCATTGAGGATGAAACTGCCTGTGCCCTCTACAACCCTACGCGGGCCATGATCGGGATACTGGACTACAACCCTAAGACCCAGCTCTGACTTCACTATAACGGGCCCGCATATCGCGCCATCTTCCCATCCAAACTCCAGCTCGAAACCACCCCGTGCCCGAACTCCTCTCAGTCTTCCACTTGGCCAAGCGGCTGGACAGGCAGGCAGAAGTCGAATTATACCATCTTCATGCGACTGCACCAGCATCTCCAGTATCCCGGCGCCACCGCCAAAGTTACCATCAATCTGGAACGGCGGGTGTGTATCCAGAAGGTTTGGAAGTGTTGATTTTGCCAAAAGCTGCTCTAGATGATTTGCGCATTCATCTGCGTCCCTCAGACGCGCATGCAGATTGAGTAGCCACGCCCTACTCCAGCCCGTATGACCGCCCCCGGCCGATTGTCGTCGTTGGAGTGTGACTGCGCAGGATTTGGCGAGCTCAGGAGTAGTGCCCAGATTGATATCGCGACCTGGGTAAAGAGCCCAAAGGTGCGAAACGTGTCGATGGCCCGGTTCCAGCTCTTCATAGTCAACCATCCACTCCTGGAGCTGTCCTGCTGAACCAATTCTCAGAGGTGGCAGGCGTCGTAGAGTGTCGTGCACTTGGATAAGGAGTTTGGTCTCTGTAATATGAAGTACCTCCAGCGCTGCAACAAATGCCCCCAGGACAGCACGGACTAGTTGGGTGTCGATTGTTGAGCCTTCGCAGAGTACCCCCGCGTTGCCTTTTTCATCACGGAACGTGTTCTCAGGCGACAATGATGGGTTTGTTACCTTATACTGACCGGAAGCATCGTCTACCAAGTAGTCAAGCAGAAACTCAACACACCCTCGCAGCACCGGTAGCATCCGCCTTAAGAAGCGTCTATCTCCACCAAAGAGATAATGTTCCCAGATATGAGTGCACAGCCAAGCACCACCAAGAGGCCACAAAGTAGCCGGCATCCAGCGATCCACAGGCGCTGTATCCGCCCAAAGGTCGGTATTATGGTGCACCGTCCACCCGCGGCAGCCATACATTTTGCGAGCAGTTTCAGCACCAGTTACGGCAAGGCGCTCAAGCAGGGCAAACAGGGGCTGCTCGCACTCAGCCAGGTTGCCTACATTGGCAGGCCAGTAATTCATCTGCAGGTTAATGTTGAGCGTGTATCGGCAGCCCCATGGTGGGTGGAATGATGGGTTCCAGATTCCCTGCAGCGTGGCAGGGAGAACACCGTCAGAGTCGTCCTCCTTGCCTGGACGGCTACAGGATATCAGCAGGTAGCGGCTGTAGTGAAGGTATAGGGCAACGAGGCCTGGGTCTCGCGCACTTAGAATCCGCTCGTCTGTCGGTATGTCTGTTCCATCTGGGCCTAGGCGCAGTTCCAAGCGGCCATATAGGGCTTGGTAATCCGCAACATGTCGACTCCATATCGTGTCTGTTGAATGGGCAAGGGCTGATGTCAAGTCGGCCATGGCCGCCTTGTCAATATCCTTACATCGATATGCCGTCTGAGCAGCTATCAGAATCAGAGCGTCTCTCGCATTGACGACGAGATTTTTGCCCACTCTCGCGATTCTTGCAGGGTCCTGACTGCCACTCTCGCAACGAATCGTCAGTTTGCAGGCAGCCCGGTTACTGCCTCTGCCACCAGGAGTGACATGCATCGTAATAAACTGATCTTCCACCTCTATATCATCCAGGAACTCATTTGTTTCATATTCCAGCTCGCTAAGTCGACTGAGTCGGACCAAGAACTCGGTACGTCTTGATGCCTGTACCCGGATAGCCAGCACACTGTCCGGATGGCTGGCGAGTACCTGGCGATGAAACTGTACACCATCATACTCGTAGTGCACATGCGCAATTCCAGCCTCTAAATCTAAAGATCGCCGATAACTTTTCACTTCATCAAACAGATGTCCAAAGTCCAAAGACAGTGTCCCTAAAGGCTCATAATGCCGCTGGCCATTCGGGGACGCAAAGAACGCTCGACGAACCAATTCCTCTGCCTCATTATGAGCGCCTTGTCGAATCAACTTTCTAAAATGCGGTAGATTTCTCAAAGCATCCTCTGGAATGCGATCCTGTGGGCCTCCATACCAAACAGAATCCTCATTCAGCTGGAGCAGCTCAGCATCGGTTCTCCCGTAGACCATGGCCCCCAGACGCCCATTTCCCACTGGAAGGGCCTCATCCCACCCGGTGGCAGGTTTCTGGTACCAGAGCTCGGACATGGTCCATTTAACATTGGCAATATTCTATGAAGGCGAGCGAACCGTGCTTTGGCGCCTTTAACTGCGTATATGTACATAGCCCTACTAGCTTTGCAACCACATACCCCACGGGGGACCTTGGACGGGAATGCCACGTCTGAGGCGTAAAATAGTGCTATTTCTAAGAGTACTCCTTCTACTGCTGCTGCTGCTGTTGTGATCGCGGGCGACACGGGCCGTTGGCCGAGACCAAAACGGACGAGCATCGCTGCTGGCCCAATGCAAGCTCATTCGACGATTCGACATTTTACTCCTCCGGCCATTTTGGAAGACTCTGATTCGCGGAAATTTGCCGTTGTTTGTTTCCATCCGGCGTCCATGGTCGCTTTCTCTCCTTTGAATCCGATTTCGCGGCCCCCTATATACAAGCACGCCACGCGAAGTTGATTCCGTCAAACCACGAGACGTCTGCCCCGGAATAAATGAAGGAGCTTGCCCATTAAGAGAAAGTGTCTTCTCGAGTCCGGGGATCCCTCGCTCCAGAGTGGGAGCCGATTCGCTGATGCTTATTATTCCCCGGCTCATCTCTCGCCCTAGCATTCTCAAGGACGGCAATCGGCGAATCCAGACTTCGAATACCCTTCCCATTCGTCTGGTCTCCGGATAAAAGTATCACGGGAAAATTCCAGCTGGGGGAAATAATGTGGTACTCTCGCTCGAGCCTTGCTCGAGCCTTGCGTATAATAGTTGGGGGAGGCCCTTCGGTCCACTCTGCTGGTAGCCCTAAGTTCCTTCACGAGGGAACCCGCAATTGCTTCGTTTGCTCGCCACTCAGTCATAATGACGGAGAATAAGGGGGATACCGCGGCAGAGACGATAAAGGAGGACCTTCCTCCTAAGAGTGCCAGTTACGTCGAGGAGGCTGTTCTCGCAAGTCTGACGGAGGAGGATGTCTGGAGGCTCTCTCAGGAATCGCTGACCATGTGGTCATGGACGGGCGTGCGCCTGTGTCTCATTCTGTTTGTCCAAGGATGTAACCAGGCAGGTTTTGGTGTCGATTGGGCTGTTATCGGTGGCATTAACGCTTACGACTCCTGGCATGACTATTTCGGCTTCGGGACTTCAGGCGGCACGTACGGCCTGCTCAATGCGTTGATGAATATCGGGAACGTCTGCGGCGCACCATTCCTAGCTCTATCTGATATCCTAGGCCGTCGGAGTGTCAACTTTATTGGAAACCTCCTCGTCATCGTCGCCTCCATCATGCAAGCCACCTCGCCAAACCTCAAGGTGTTCATGGCCGGCCGGTTCTTCATGGGCTTCGGTTCCGCCATGCTCTCAAGCTCACAATATATGGGTGAAATCTCACCTGTGCATCTACGTGGCCTTTTAGTCGGTATATTCGGCGCTTGCTTTCAAATAGGTAGTCTGTGCATGACCGCCGCCATGATTGGAATCACCAAGATAGAGGGAAACCTGCAATGGCGCCTTCCGCTCTACCTCAACATGATATTCCCCGCCATCGTCTGCCTCCTAATTTACGTCGTGTGTCCTGAATCGCCTCGTTATTATATCCAGCGCGGCAAACGCGATGCAGCCAGAGCTGTAGTCGCAAAGTACCACACTACCAGCGGGGACATCAACCAGCCCATCGTCGACATCGTCGTCTCCCAAATGGAGGCCTCCATTGAGAACGACCGAGCCGGCCACCAGAAGTTCTGGGACTACTCGGTTTTCTTCAAGCACACCGTTCGGTACCGCCTTCTGGTTCTCGCTCTATACTCCATCTTCCAGCAGTGGAATGGCGGCGGCATTATCACTTATTATGTGAGTAAACCTATTACGGACATGGTCGGGAAACCGATGTACTAACTAAACTGCCCAGATGGTCCCGGCCCTCGAAACAATCGGAGTCAACGGTGACATGCAGCAGCTCGGAATACAGCTAGGCACAACGGCAGTATACTTTGTTTTCACTGCGGTTGGCGCTGTCATCATAGATCGGTTCCGCCGGCGCACCATGATCTTCACCGGCTTAGCTACAATGATTCTCTTCCAGACGACGACGACAATCACTTCCTGGCAATATGATGTCAATGGCACTAAAGCATCTGCGGCTCTAACTATTCTATGGATCTACCTCTACCAAACCTTCTCCGCCACCTTTGTTGCGACGATGCATAATCTCTACCCCATTGAAGTCCTATCTCTGCCCCTTCGAGCGAAGGGGATGGGATTATTTGGCGCGATTCAAGGCGGGGCTGGGGCAGTTCAGTCATATGGAATAAGCGTAGGAATCGAGAAGCTAGGTTACAAGGTGTGGGTTGTGTATATCGCATATAACACGATCCAGCTGGCGCTCTCATACTTCATCTTTCCCGAAACGTCGAGGCTATCGTTGGAGGAAATCGATGCCATATTTGAAACCCCAGGAACAAAGCCTGTGAAAATGGCTAATAACATTTACAAGGCTAAACAGCTCAGTCGTGGCGGAACTATTCCCTGATCTTGAGATTTTGCATTTCGACCAGGGTCTATACACATCACGTGGCCGCCTGGTGTTTGGATTTGACAAACAATCGCGATGATCAATCAATTCCACTTTATCAAATTTATCTGTGTAACGGGAAAATGAATACTATTACTAGGAATTTGTTTTGGGCCACTCCCTATATTCAAGCCGGCGCAGGCTGCCCCCTTTAGTTCGATGGGACATGGTCGAATAACGATAGACCTTAATTTACTAGCACTAGTCCATTTCATACCCACCAGGGAGAATTTGTACATGAGTCAAGATTGGTGTCCACCTCTGAGAAGCCCTGGTATGGTTCCGGAGCACCGAGAAGATCTTCGCCATCGACCTGAAACTCCAATCGGGTGACTGAGTTTGCAGCCTTTCTTTTTCCGAACGCCTGGATGCGTCTGTAGATTGAAAGAAGACGGATAGAAAAGAAAGGGGGGAGGGAAAGAATCCAGGGACTACAGTGGATTTTCAATCGGCCCAGGGGAAATGCATGGTTCCTAGAGATGGACCAGTGAAATGCCTCCCATAGGACGTAAATATGTAAGGTGTTGGGTACGAGATTGGAAGAGATCTAGGTATCATATAGTACCAAACAACAGACCATTTCGGAAAGTTGTCAGTCACCAGGGATCCAGACTTCTATCCTTTTTTAGTTCCTGAGATACTCATAGACGCCCTCGCATGGCTTCTTGTTATGCAAATGGAACTCTACCTGTAGTGGCACCTTCGCGTAGCAACGGTAAGACACCAACGTACCCAGCGGCTACGTGCAGCGCTCGGAAACGGTCCACGAATGGGGGAATTTCGAGGTGGATGACCAAGAAAATGCATCCATCCGTGGTGCTCAGATAAGCTGTCTCTCCCACGGAAACTTTTGGCACATGGCCCCCCGTCTGTTTGTGACGGACAACAGACGGGAAGTGTGCGTTCTTCTCCCGGGACACTTAACAAGCAGGCCTTTACCGGCTGGCCGAGCTGGTTCCGTGTCGACTTTTGCAGACACACAGGCAAGCCCGTTCTCATCCTGTTGCTTTTCTCGTGTTCAATTTTGCGTGTGTAACGAACAGATCGCATGGCTGGATGGCCTCGGGCATATCTGCATTTTGCCTGTCAGACAGATGTTTCGGCAAATCTCATGTGCGTTTGTGCCCTGCTCGAGATACACAGAATGCTGCATCGAAAGAGGATCCGCCCTCTTGGTGTCTGATGTCGGCCTATACCCTGCTCCATTTCTTCTCACAGACAATAAATTCTCACCGACTCGTCTCTCTGCCGGCAGATCCCAGAAACAACGGAAATGGACAACCTAATCCCCCAGACTGACTTCAAGGTTGCGCCGGCGTTGTCATGATGGTGTCACAGTTTGGGAACAAACGAGGCTGTCCCTATCCAAGGAGCAGCTTGTCTTCGCAGGAGCCACAATACGATTGGCACAAACGGCCCGGAAACGGATTGGCAGACCAACACATACGGTGAAGGAAAGGTGATTGCACTCGGTTCGTCATGTCTCTGCCATCAGTTGCATTGGGCGCCCTTTTTGGTATCACCCTGACTGCCGTCATTAGACTCAGGAGATGATATAAACCGCTCTCCTCAGGTCCTAGTAAAGAGATGCACCCCCTCCTGAACATTCTGCAAGTCGTCAAATTCTTTTTCGTATAACAACCTTTCTGGTATCTTCTTCCTGGATACCAATTGCTTTCCACGTAAGCCCGGGTCCCTTTTCGGAACCGTCGTATCAGCTCCAAACGACAGAACAGTCACCCTCGGCCTGGAGAAGACATACGAGCCAATTCTTTGCTAGACTTCGAAGTTGCTCTCAGCTATACACATACCGAACATGCCCTCCAAATCATCCCAAAAGGCAGCCCTTCCCGAACCCCAGGGCCTTATATATGATGAATCGGACATGGCCCTCTTCCGAGCAAAGCTATCATACCATGCTACAATAGACAGTCGACTCGCCTCAAACGACACCAATCTTGTGTCCATCTCCGAACACCAGGCCAGAATTATCAAGCGCTGGGAAATGCTGAAGCAGGTGGAGAAGGATATGACAGACAAAGGCAAGAGTCTGTCTCCGGGCGAAAAGAAGCAACTGTCTCAGTACGAGTGGCGGTATAAGAATCTGGAAGAGCTCGCAATTAAAAGCAACAGGTGATCAGGGAGCGGAGGACAACAGCAATTCGGGCTTCAACCTAGGGTGGCATCGCATCGCAGCGCATCGCATCATTGGCGTTCACCTTTTTTGATTTTTCCCCCTTTCTTCCTCATTTAGATTTAGGATTAACATCCTGCGTGGATTTCTTTCTGAAGGCTTCTTTCTCGCTCGGCACTCCTGTTATATTTCGCGAATACAATGCCGTGGTTTCTTCCCATCAGCCTCCTGTTCATCTTCCGATCCTGATATGCTACACGACTAACCGCACTGGTCGATTATGATTTTTAATGTACTGAAGTCATTGAATGATGGTTTGCGCATCGTTATTCACCTCGTAGGGTCGCACCCAACCTTGCATGGGCCTGATATCATTTGTCTGGTGTCTGTATGGATAGAACCGCACCTGTCCTCTAATTGCAATGGCGCTGTAATACCTTGCCCGCGCTGTCTGGCCCTGGCGAGCTGCTTGGTCCCAATCTCGGAGGTATCAGTGGAGCTATCTTTTGGTACTTAGCCAGCCTGGCTGGTGACGGCCCCTCGGAGCCTTCTTGGTCTCTACGACAAAAAAAGGCCGGCGAAGAGGTCCGACCCAGTCGTAGATAGTGAAGTCAGTATATCCACCAGGGTTTCTGGCTTGCGATTCAGCAATATCGTGGCCTTCGATGGCGGGGAAAAAACGTCCGCAGGATCACACTCCATGTAGCCCCCACGCAGTCCTCGGGGTTTGTGCCGTTGATTCTGAGGTAAATCAATAGCATAGCGGCCATGGATGGCCATGTCTTGTAGACGTCACAATGTTACACTGCAGCCGGTGACCATCCAAATTGTAACCGAGGAGAGGGCCATCTCGCGGTAATGTTGACCCTCATCAATGCCTGATCTTGGGTAGGCGGGGGCATCGGAGAGCATAGCCGCCTCGACCCCCCATGGGAGGCATTGCATCCAAGTATTTCAATAATTGAATTCTATCATTGCTCGGGAAAATGCGATTATCGGAGAACTCTGAAAAAGAAGCCTGTGTGGCAGGAAGCAGCAGCAGGTACGTACTTTGAAGAGGATGGGACGATGGATACGGGAAGAGGCTGGGGAAGAGAGAGCAACCTTCTCCTCGCCGGCCATGTCCGTAGGGATGAGACTGATGAGCTCCTTCCAACCCAAATATGACAAGGCATTTCAAGCAGATACAGAACACATCTTTGCGAAAGCCAAGGCCCATGTACTGTAGATGATATCGATAAGGAGCAGACTCGATAGCGTATCATGACAAACTTGTATTGAAACTCTATTACAGTCTAGCCTCACGTGTGAATGCGGTGTATAGCGGCAGAATCCACCGATTTCCCCGATCAATTCCTGGATAGCTTCAACTCGACTCAATTGAGCCCAATTTGTGAAAAATAGAGGGCCGTGATGCGTCCCCTTCCGCAGAGAGTATGCATTTACTGCAAACTATCTCGTCGCTCTTTCGCATCCGCTGTGCGTCCGCCAACGGCTCCTAAACCCACCCCCGATGTCAAACATGTCCGTCAGAATCCCGAACTCTATGCGCAGAACTGCCGCGATCGAAATTACCCTGCGCATGCGGATTACCCTTCGACGATACAACAGCTCTCCGAAGAGCTCCGCCAGATTGATCAACAGCTCATGCCGTCTCGCTCTCGAATAAAAGCACTTGAGAAAACAATTGGGAGACTTCAGAACCCGGCCACCGACCCGAAAGAAAAAGAGCAGGAACCAGCTCTCCGGGGCGAGGCCCAGCAATTGAAAGACGAATCTCTCACACTAACAAATCGAAAGACATCCTGCAGCGAACAAATTCATGAACTCGCCCTCTCTCTACCAAACCTTTCCTCCTCTCATACGCCTGTCGGCTCGGACCCTGCTCTCATCGAATACCTCAATTTCGACCCTAAATCGCCGCCTTCCTGGGTCGCCAAGTCTGACCCCTCGCGTTCTCATGTTGCCATCGGCTCTGCACTTGGTCTTATTGACTTTGCTAGTGCTGCCACTACTACCGGCTGGGGCTGGTACTTCCTCATTGGCGAGGGAGCCATCCTAGAACAAGCCCTAATTCAGTACTCCTTGTCTGTTGCCCGCCGCCACGGCTGGGTTCCAGTTTCACCACCATCCGTCGTCTATTCTTACGTTGCCGATGCTTGTGGTTTCCAGCCTCGCGATCAAAACAGTGAGCAACAAATATGGGCTATCGAGCAAGCGGAGAAGGACAAAACAAAGCCCCAGCGGTCTCTCGCTGCCACGGCCGAGATCCCTCTAGCTGCTATGCACGCCGGTCGTGATCTCGATGCATCTACTCTACCGCTCAAGCTAGTGGGACCCAGCCGCTGCTATCGCGCTGAGGCAGGCTCTCGGGGCGTGGATACAAAGGGGCTATACCGCGTCCACGAATTTACCAAGGTCGAAATGTTCGGCTGGGCAGATAATACCCCTACATCATCTTCACCAACTTCAGATGATCTCTTCGGTGGTCTTTTGACAGTACAGAAAGAGATCCTAACTTCTCTCCAACTTCCCTGTCGCGTTCTTGAGATGCCAACCTCGGATCTCGGAGCCAGCGCCACCCGCAAGCGTGATATTGAGGCACTATTCCCGTCTCGTATGCGTGGCGATGAGCTCGAGAACGGATGGGGAGAGGTCACCTCGGCATCCATCTGCACAGATTATCAATCCCGGCGACTGGGAACTCGCGTGCGCGGAAATACGGCGAAAGAGTCTCGCTTCCCACATACTGTTAACGGAACCGCGATGGCAGTTCCAAGGGTGCTGGCGGCGATTATAGAGAATGGGTGGGATCCTGAACGCAAGGTGGTTGTCATTCCCGAATCTTTGCGACCTTGGATGGGTGGCCAAGAAGTTATTGGGAAGTAAACCCGTAACTATACCAGTAAACATCTCTCACTCCTAATGTATACTATATCTATGTATCTATTACTCCAAATGCCAGCTCTAGCGACCATCACTCTCAGGCTCCTCAAGCAACCTGCTGCCCCCACCAAGGTCTTCTATCTATTATCCTCTGGGTTATCCTCAACCACAGTACCCACGTACTCCTCGTAGGAGAACCATCCTTAATCATAATTTTAACGACCGTCAAGTCTCGTGAGTAAACGCAGCCAGTAACCGATTTCGAAGCCGTACGCTCACTGCCTCAGGGACACCCATCAGCAAGCCCTGTGACATCGCGGCCCAACGCTCGCCGTCTGAGCCTAATGAGCCCTGCAGCCAAAGCGCGTCAGATGTTCTCCTCCTCTTCTTCTTATTCCCCACATCTTTCCCCTGCTCGTCATTCTGCATGAATAAAAAACAAAGTGACATTCGATGCCTCCAATTTCGGCAACATCAACCCCCTCAGGTAAGGGGGTCGGGGCCTGGATCAGACGTGGTTGGATGGTACAGTAGTTGGTAACAAATAATTGGAGACAAGCGATGACTTGTTTGGTTATATGGAGGGTACCTGTACCTGACTTAAGGAGGAAGTGAAGGAACTAACACCTGCGTTGTTTTCGCCTTGCCGGTGCGTTGGTTGCCTTGCTGTTACACCGCGCTTAGGCGGCAGAGCGGCCTGCAGCTGTAGTACCAGCAGGTTTGCCCAAAAGTGTGATTGCTACGATTGTTCAATATGTGGTGGTTCAGCGCTGGTCGTTGACAAGGCATTCCTCAAGTGTTCTGTACATTAACTCTAACCTGCTAAATGGTACTGTGATGTCCCAATATAATGAGAACGGCCGAAATCGTAGACTTAATATACAGCAGGGTAAGAGCTGGCCAACAGCCAATGAAGATCATCACTTCATCAAATTGGCATAAAACACGTCAATAAATTGGAGCAGGAGATGGTAAGGTCATAACAAAGAATATATAACATGGCCAAGGAAGTAAATCATATCAAAGAGTCATAAAATCATGATGAGTAAAAACTTATGGAATGCTGGGGTATCGAGCATTGTCATTTCGGTCGTTCGGTCGTAAATCATTCCCAAGGAATATCATCATCCTCAACTTTGACACATGTCAAGTATGGAATGGTGTCGCTGAATTCACCTCCTTTCAGATCCAATTCAAGAAAGTTTCGCATGAGAGGTTTGACGATCTCACGGGCCAGCCGTTTGATTTCGTCCATTTTGCGCTCAAATCGTTTAAGTACTTCGCGCGTGTACAGAGACTCTGAAGACGCTGTCGGGTGAACCTTGAGGAACTTCTTGAGTTCCTCATGCGAGAGGTAGGCCTGCGTCGAGGAAGATCCAATGAGCCGGTAAACGCGAGCGGATGAGACTGCTGCCGTGGCTGGCGATGTACTGTCCGTCGGTCGGGATGCAGAGACGGTCGTTGATGTCGCTGCAGATGCTGCGCGGCTAGTATTGGTGTGGTTTGTAGGGTGCGCGCTATTCTTGAGGATTGGAGCAGGTGGCGGGGTAGTGCTATCAACAAGCCATTGTCGGAAGAGGGAAACAGCAAGCCAGTCCAAGTAGGCGTTCTGGGGAGTGACACGCTCTCCCCGGGAAGTAGTTAGGGTAAGGCGCAGAAGTTTGGAGTCAATGCGAGCCTTAAGGTCCTCGAGGTCCTCAAATTTGTCCTCGATAATATCCAGTGCAAGAGGAGGGAGCGGGGAGTAGGGTCCGCTGCGGAGGTGGGATTGTCCAGCCGGCCATTGGCCGACGACATGAATGAGGGCCTCGGAAAAGATGACACGACTTCGCGCAAGGTATCCTAGTTTCAGGTAGCTTGGCGGGTATTTTGCAATTTGTTTGAACAGTCGGGAGCCAAAGCCCAAAAGGTGATGGTCCACGCGGGGACCAGTGACGGGTAAGGCATCGTACATATCCGCCAGGGCTAGAAGGGCCTTGCATTCTGCATATGCAGTAGCGATGTTGATGGTGTTAAGTAGTGGTGGATGGTTATAGAACAACCGAAACAGGTTGTCATAATCACGAAGTATGGGATCCATCGTTCCTCCATTGGACGGGTTCGTGTTTGCTGCAGCCGCGGCTACCGCACTCGACCTATGTGGCAGCTGGATAACAGACTGCAGATGCGCCAAGTTTGCCATGGAACGAGCGAATCCTGCATGATTGCTTGACGGTTTTGTCATTGGCTTTGCATACGGTCCGAACTCGCTAGCAATGGTACCAGAAGCACTGGGAGGCTAGATTATTGTGTGAGCTGGTGTCAAGCTATCATGCACAAGAGGAAATACATACCTTCTGGACCAATATTGGCTCCTCGTCCTCTGCCTTATTTTCCCAATCCAGTTCGAATCGCCATCTCTTTTTCTCGGGCGGTAATTGAGTGAGGCCCGCGTCGGACTGCGCCAGAGTAGAGCCGTTGGAGAGAGATGACGCATCTTCGCTGATTCTCGACAAGGTCCCCGAATCCGGGTTGTTATTGGGTTGCCGACCCATCGCAGTTTGCCCCGACCACTCCTGGGTGCTAGTCTCAAAGAAACCGGAGCATTGCGCCAGAATGAGCCGGTGCAAGAGGTACCGGTTCTCCTGGCGACCGGCGCGAATCACTAGTTCAACATCACCGGTATGAGTGAAGGTCGGAAAGTCATTTTGAGGCTGATGAATGTGTCCCCCGTGGTGAGAACGACTCGAGCGATGGCGGCGACTGTGATGAGAATAACGCGACACGGACGATGGGGCGCTTTGCGCGGGTATGGAGCGATCAAGCACTTGGGCCTGGGAAACCATTTCAGACGGCGTTGTGGACTTTGCTGGCATCGTAATATAGCGCGCGGTGATCAAACACCAAAAGCCGTGCTGTGTGCGTCATTCAAACAGACGTAGCACACACAGTAATGTAGAGGATGGGGGAAAAGGGTGCTGGGTCTCCGCCAGAGAGGCAAGAAGAGAGGGAGGCGAATTCAACAGCGGCAGACCAAAACTATAGTTGCCATTAGTAACCGCTAGATAAAGAATCGCAGAATGGAAATAAAAGGCAACACAGGGGGGCAGGAAGCCAACTTACGAAGCGGGAGTCCGAGGTTCCAGCTAAAGAAGATCCATGGTTCGTTTCAGGAGAAGAAACATGGTTGTTGGTGGACTTCTTGTTGTGGTGGTGAGAACGACTCGACTTCGGTCACGAGATCGGGGGCCGGTGGTATCAGTACAGGAGCCGTCCGTAACGTACCGTATTCACTCGCATCATGTGAAGATAAGCTTCCTTTTCTCTTATCACTACCCCACACGTGATTTGCTTATCTGAGGCTGCCAAGTGCCGACTTGCGCCGAGTGCTGACCGACCGCTCTGGCTGATCCTGGACTTCACTACTCTGACTCGTCCTTTCATTGCTTCTTCTCATGGCTGCAGCTCCCCTATCCATAGTCTTCTGGCGTCCCCTCTTCTAGCAACTAATCCAGCGCGCCACTCTTCCCATTCCTCCTTCCGCAACTCTCTTTCTCCAAGGATGGCGAGTGGTGTCATGCTCGGATACTATGGTCCAGAAATTTCCGTTCAATCCATCTATGCTGGCACAACGCCATGAGCAAAGGCTGCTATACCTGCCGTCGCCGCCGCATCATTTGCGATAATGGACTCCCCACGTGTCGGAAGTGTCGAGATGCGGGGAAAGAATGTCTGGGGTATCAAAAACCACTCGTTTGGGTCAAGGGTGGGGTGGCCAGTCGGGGTAAGATGATGGGTCGCAGCTTCGGCGACGGCAAACAAAAAGCTCCTGATGCCCATCAGGATCATGCTGGACTTGATCAATCCGCCGCCGCCGCAGCCAGTCTGCCAAGCGATGTGGACTCTTCCTTTTCCAATAACCCACAACATCCTCCTGATGATGACGACGTAGCGTCGGCGCAAGATACTTCCCTGGGGGCTATTGTGCCTGCAAATCCCATGCTTCCAACACCATGGGTACTTGTGGATCCGTTATTTCAAGATTGTAGTCAACTTTCCCGGTTTTATATCAACCATTGTACGTTGATCGCTTTAAGCCCATGAAGCTGCCTTATCTAACCTATTCCTACTCTGTAGTCCATCAGAATCTTGCGGGATATCTATCACTATATTCCGATGTCAGGAACCCATTCCGGGACCTTATCCCGCTAGTCAGCAATTCTCCCGTGATCTCTCATTCCCTCGCGGCCATGGGCGCATTACATTATGTTATTTCGGCAAACGGAGATACTTCGCCCATGCCGTGGTCTGGAGAGACTTTATTAACCAACAATAAGCCCTCCCCGCCTGAGGAAGCAGGACCGGCCGAACTAAACTCCCTGTCTCAACGTTCATCTCCCAGGATTTACGAGCAGTTCCTAGGGTTCAAACAACGCGCACTACAACAGTTGTCACGGGACATATCCGATCCCGTTTTGCGAAACGACAACAAGACGTTAACAGCGATAATGATTCTTGCCTTGATGGACGCCATTGAATCTGGGCATGGCGCATGGAAATATCACCTGGAAGGCGCTAAGAAGCTCTTGCAAAGTCGCGAGCACGACAAGCCAAGTAAGACACAAACAATACTTAACTGGCTCGATGATTTTGCTGCCGATGGGTGCTTAGTGTGAGTATCTCTGTATTTATAGTATATCTCGCAACAAAGTTTGACTAATTGAGTTTCAGAATTCAGCTAATGGGTGCTACTTTGGCCCGACCTGGCACTCTATCGAAGCCCTTTTACTGTTCTGACATGGGTGCCTCTGTCTTAAAGCGCTTAGAAGAAACCTCATGGGTCGGCTGTCCCGCCTATCTACTAGAAGTCATTTTCTTCGTCCACGCGTTCTTTGACCTTGACCTCAGCAATGACCCAAGCTCACAGCCACGGACCGTTTTCCCGTCTAGATATCTCCCAGGGGGCTCAAATCCGCTCCAATACCCCGAGAGCCTACCGAAACACATTCAGGCGTTTGATCCTATTGCATGGGCAGAGTCTCTCCAAAGTTATCATTTCCTTCCAGACCTCTCCATGCGGATTACCCTCGCTACCATTTACAAGGCGGCTGTCTATCTCTATGCCACTAGGGTTCTTTCTCGCCCTCGACCCGGCGCCACATCTATTTCGACCACTATTGGCCTGCCCCCAGACCATGCGGAGGTCGCAACATTCTTAATCAACCAACTTTCCCTTATCCCCTCCTCCGATCCACACTTCAAATGTCTCATATGGCCCTCGTTTATTGCCGGTGCCGAATGTAGAACCCCTGCTCAGCGCCCAGTTATGCTCGAGATCCTCCGCAAGTTGTATTTCCATCTCATAAGCGTCAACGTCCGCAATGCTGCGTGGGTCCTGACGATGATGTGGCGCAAGCGCGACCTCAGGCGCGAAGAGAGATCGAAATTCCGTGCAAATCTAGACAATGGTAGCATTGACTCTCTAGCTGCCACGTCTCGGTCACCTTCTATCACAACTACCCCTACTACGACTACCGGCACGGCCACTACTCCCTCCATCACGTCACCAATAAGCCCTGGTGATGAGTTTTATTACGACGATGACGACTTCGACTGGGTCCAGGAGTTAGATGATTCTAGGATCGATTGGCTTTTTATCTAACAGGCTTCGGTTGTCTATACCTGAAGTTTCAACCCTTTTCGTTCATAATAATATCCTCGCAGTGTAAATATGATTTGAGTTTATAATTTATTTATTTTTTCTTGTTTTCTCCATTTAAAATTTAACCCGAGGCTCCTATTATAATTAATGGATTGGCAGGAATATTGCTTAATGTTAAACAGTTGTATGTGCAGATTCGCAAGATATTCGTAAACAAGCATCTCCACCTTCATTCCATTTATTAGCAACCAAGGGATAGAATAGAAGGTCACATAATAAATATATATATCTGGGCTGTAGAGAGAAGAGTAGTACGGGGTAGTATGAAGAAAAAAAAAAAAATTACAGGACAGACCAAATGTAAAAGACAAGGTAACACGTCAGGTAAGGGATATAAACGTGCATAGGTACTCCGTCCATCTAAATGCAGCAAGCAATATTTCGACAGCGATTGATGAATAAAAAGAACAGGAAAATGTGTATGAAGGACATAGTTGAGGAAATCGAAAAAAGAAAATCGCTCATGATTGTAAGATGCAAGACTAGGTAAATGGCGCTGAAGACTAAATCGCGTCACAAATGGGGATCCTTCAAGTTATAGATGCAAAATGAAACACAAAGGAAATGGCGGCGCTTGGTTCGAGTTCATGATATGTAACTCGCCAATATCAACAAGTCTGGTGGAATATGGATCCAGAAGTGAAAAGTACAGTGTGTGTGGATAGGGAAGTATGGGGCGATTCATGGCCTCCCATAGCCGCCCATCAGAAAAGACGCAGGGCAATACCAGAGTTAACACTGGCATTGGGATATGTAACAAGGGTTTCATGTAGATTTCAAAGAAATGGCGAGATCGGGAGACTGCGACCCTGCGCCGTAACCATCGCGACTCCAAGAAAGAACAGAAGGAAGGAAAGAAAAGAAATGAGTAGCGGTGCAAGAGCTAGTCAATAAAATGGAAAGCAGAACCAATGGGGATATCGTTGAGGAAAACATTCAAGACACAATTGCTGTTCTAGAAGACCGCAGCAAGACCGTTCTTAGAGTGGCGCCGACTGAAACGTTTCTTCCCTTTGACTGAGTCGGAATCGTTTCCTTGGTGCTTAACGAGGGTAGCTCGTCCTTGTGGCGGTGCTGGTTCGTGAGGGGGTTCCGCAGCCCGGTCTAGAGTATTAGCGTGGCTTGAAAACCCAGAAGATAGATCACGGAATGCGTCATCTCCAGAATATGGCCCGTTATTTTGTTGAGCCAGAGCCATCTCTCGAGCTCGGTCGAGGGTATCCAACCACTCCTGCGTAGTTAAAGCGGTTGTGCCCGCACTGCTTGATGACGGTTTGGGATCCTCGAAAACAAAATGCTTCTCGCGCTACACGTGCACCTGTTAGTGAAAAGAAAATAGATTGCCTGGTGGAAGGGGGGTGGATTCTCACCGTATCAACAATCCAACATGACACCCCCTTAGCGTCGGTAGATGTGCGATAATGAGTTCCCGGGGCAAGCAGAGACAACTCCATCTTGGTCTTTTTCTCATCGCCGCCAGCAGCAGCCATAATGATCCGACCAGATGACGTGATCATGACCAATCGTTGCCGCTTCTTGGTTGTGCTACCCCCGAAGAAGCGCGAGAATTTCCTTGGAGCTTCATATTCACCATGTCTAGAGACAGGACTATGAGAGGCCGGAGAAGACAAGACAACTAGGTTCCCCAGCTTCAGGATCCTTTCGTTATTTTTAGTTAACACTGGAGACCACTCGATGTCAAGCTGACTGGGGGCGGGTAATTCAGTGATCAACCTGGGCATGACACGGGAACTCGTGTTCGAAGGTGCCGTGTTGATACTCGGGGGAAAGCTGTCTCCGTCAGAACTCCCATTAAGTTTAATGGGTTCGCGTGGCGGGGGGCTATAAGCTTTCAGACGAGGTGCTTTTTGTTTCCATAGGTCCACACCCCAAGTTATACCCTGGAAGAACTCATGGTTCTTAATATGTTCAATCGGCAAACGGCGGGCGGGGTCAAGAACGAGGAGACGCTCGACGAGATCGCGGGCGACACTAGGGAAGCTCAGAGGGAACTCGTACTCTAACGCAACAATTTTTTGGAACGTCTGATACTCATTTCCGGCTTTGAAGGGTGGCCGCCCAGCCAGAAGCTGGTAGATGATACAACCAAAGGCCCACAGATCGCTCGCTTTGCAAGCATTCTTGTCCGTTAATAATTCGGGGCTAACGTACTCGGCCGTACCAACAAAGGAGCTGGCACGCTCTTGCTCAGGTATATCCGAGTCAAGCGACGGGATCCCGCTTGAGTTCTGAGAGCCTTGGCGGCTCTTAAGTATCTTCGCCGTGCCAAAATCAGTAACTTTGACGTGCATCTGGCTGTCAAGCAAAACATTTTCCGGCTTCAGGTCTCTGTGGATGACACCGCGCTTGTGCATGTAGTCAATTGCGTCTAATATTTGAGCGCCATAGAACTTCGTGCACTCTTCATCGAATGTTGTCATTCGCTTCAAAACGCCTAACAATTCTCCTCCTTTGCAAAGGTCCAGGACGAAGTATAACGAGCGTTCATCCTGGAATGTGTAGTACAATCGGACGACGCCGGGATGGTCGGTAAGGCGATTTAAGGTATCTTTTTCGATATTTACATACTTGACCTTTTTCTCTTTGATGATGTGTCGTTTATCCAGGATCTTGATTGCATATTCTTTGAGAGTTTGACGGTCTGTCCCCAGCACGACGGTGCTATAGGACCCCTCGCCGAGGGTCTGTCCAAAGGAGAAATCCCGGACGCCCTTCTTTATGTACCGCGCGACAGGCTTCCCATTAGCATCAATCTCCTGTCTTACTGTGACGGCAGCCCCACGTTCCTGCCATTCGTCACTACTAGACATTGGCCCATTTTCCATCCCGTAGGGCGATCCTGACAGTTGTGGGACGCCCGCAGCCCGTGCTCGAGACGATTGACGCATCACTGCTGCCCCATTCGCCGGTATTTGTGCCGTGTGGTAGGAGCGGTCGCTATGAGTATTATCGCGGATAGGTACCCCAGCCTGATAAGCTGAAGAACCTCCGCGAGATCCGGCGCGAGCTAGGCTTTCCGAAGCAGAAGATGCGGCAGAGTCCGTGCGAATACGATATGGCCCTTCTCGAGAGGTAGTTGAGACTGGCGCGCCGCCATTTGCGAACAAAGCTGATACAGGGCGGGAGGAGCTCGAAGACGGAGGGTGTTGCGGCTGGGAGGGGAAAGGGGGGCCGTAATATGAACCGGGTTGCTGCTGAGCATCGGGGTGGTATGACTGGTAGGAGAGTCGGTGGTCGGCTGGAGGAAGCGATGATGTTACGCCGGCCGGCCGTTCTGTTACTGTCGGTTCATCTTTCGTAGTATTTTGCGTTGTAGATGCTGGAGGGACAGTGGTAGCAGCGGGAGTTGAGGCATCCTCGGATGAATGTAGTGAGGCGTTATCTGGGTTCGCTATGCGTAATCCGCCCAGAGACTGGGAGAGGCTGATATCCCCATCCATGGTGGGCGCGACAATCCAAACACTCTATAAGGTAAATTTGACTGGCCAGCTCAGGGGTTAATGGTCGAACCGAAAGGGAGAGGCTATGTGGGGAGGAAGACGGATGAAGGTGGAACGGAAGAGCTATATTGCGTGGTGTGAAGTTTAGACAGCACGACCCAGAACAAGAGATCTCTGGGTCGAACGAGGGAGGAATAGCGAAGATCAGCGAAATTTGCACGTCCCCTGTATCGATTGTAGGGACGAGGAAAGTGTAGGCCGACGGACTATGGCGGCGGTCGGAGACGGGGCGGGCAATGCATGATCCAGGGCAACGCGAGAGGAGAACCTAGGAGTCGAAGGACAAGTCCGACGCGATAATGTCCTGCAAAGATGATATACAGAGGCCACAAAAGTGGGAAGAAGGAAAAAGAAAGATAAAAGCTAGCGAAAGACGAAGCGGATGGGCTGTGAGAGGGGGGCGGAGCGAAAAAGAGGAAGAAGGGGAGAGGGAGAAGTGGAGGAGTTGTCGAGGCGGAGAGATAATTAAATCAAATAACCACCTGGAGAATCAGCCATGCTGGCTACAGGTTATTATTAGCATTAAACTACATGAAATGCAGACTAAGCATTATTCTCAGCATGATGCTCTGGCTGAATTGCGCAGCAGTCCCCCGCTGGGTGCTTGGGTGGGTTGACTAGCATTATTATGAACCTGTTGTTATTCTTAGTTAGGCAGAGGCATTCGTCACTTCATGACTAGGCAACTCCACTGTTAGCCATTTGCAGCATCTTGTCTTAGCTCTTGGTGGAGGAATAGGTGAGGAGCTTTAATGATGTTAAATAATATCCAATATCCTACCACTTCAGTCTATATAGAGTGCCAAATTGGCAGCCAGTAGGCGAATCTCACCTCCAGCATGGCCCATACAACTTCCTTTTCGGGAAATCCCATCGCTCCTTCCCATCCAGGAGGAACAACAGTTACTACGAATCTGTACCGGCACCCTGTAGGTTTATTCCCGGTCCTAGTTCAGTTCACAGGGCCTGTCCAATATACAAGTAGGTTCTTGACAGCACTCACTCTCTACGATGCTCCGATCCAAACCCACCAGTGTTACTCTCACCGAGGACGACCTCTGCTACCATATTGAGAGCATCTTCTCTCGGAACGATCGGCTCACTAAGTGGCACCTGCAGCGCACTGGCTCTGATAACAGCTACGATGGTGACGACGATGAAGATGGCCGATTCTTGGACTCAGACGTCTTCTCTCAGTCAGAGACTCTTTTCGAGTCGGAGTGCGACGAAACTCAGCAACAGGTGACGCCAGAAAGCAGCTCACAGGAGACCTTGGACCAAAGACACACCAGAGCGAGCGTGTCTTTGCTTTGTCGCCCTCGTGCTTCTGTGCGTTTTGCTTCATCTGAGACTTCGGCGTTGAGCCCAGGCGCAGACAGTGACCCCCAACTGTCTCAAGTCGTGGTCAGAAACCTAAGACCGCTGGATGACCCACAACTGCTTTCCATACAGCCTGTACCAAACCCCCATTCACTTCCTTTGCCCCTCCAATTGGCGCTGCTTTCGAGCACAGACTGGAACAGAGTGAGGAGTGGCTTTGCTTCGCAATACAACGACCGCGATCCCCGCATGCCCAGCCCAAGGCTATCCCGGCCTATTGAAGTAGTATTGGATGTCAATCTTGCGAGTCTTTTCTCGTCGATAATTGCTCTTCCCATCAGAATTCCTGGGCGAGAAAGTGGCGTAGGGCTGTTTGGTAGCGGCATAACGATCCCTCAGCCAGTCTATTGATTGTACTAACACAACACTTTCACTTAGAGAAACCCCGCAGAACTCAACTATATCCCAACAGGCTGTTCCACGATGCCTGCGTGGGCCTGGATGTAAAACCCTCTCCAGAGATCAAGCCCCACGGCCCTCCTTCGAGCCATTTACCCCAAATACAACTTGTTCCTTCACCACTGGAAATGAAGTCCACCAGTCATACGGATTTGGCTTTAACGGACAGGGAAGCAGATGAACCGGAGCCCAGCGGGGTTCTCACTCCTGCAGAAAAGTGTCTGGCTGAAACAACCCCCAATTCTGACAATGCGCCATTCCAGCTCTCGTCACCCGAAACTTCTGGGTATCGCTCTATCAAAAGGTGCCCGAGTTCACCTTCTGACGCGCTCGACGATACCCCGGAAACCTGCCATACAGCGGATCCGATGGACAGAAAAGTCACAGAAAGGGGCCCAGGCAGGGATTCCAAAGACCTTACCCACTTGGCGAACCATTATACTGTCTCGCGATCTACGCAGACTGATCTAGATCTGGGATGGACCAATGAGCGCTATGGCAATGAAGGCATACTCGTACGTGTCCCCATTTCGATTCTCAATACAACCGTTAGCAGATTAGCTCACAGATACTTCCAATTTCTACCAAGCAGAGTAGCTTGGAAAGACAAGAAAACCTTACCCCAGGCCAACCTGTTGAACGGCGATGGCAGGATCCTTTCATCACGACAATGTTCACAGAGCCCGGCGCTCCGGTATATGAGTATGACCTCTCGAACCAGCTCGGCAGAGGAATACGCAGGCGACAACCAGTGGGAAGAGGAAGGGTAGCCCGTAATCAACGCGGGGTAGTACGTTAAGTCCCGGGGTTATATTAAAGCAAGGCTGATCGCTTACAAAAGCTCGGGCAAATCCCTCATCCAGCATTAGTGGATGCCACTACTTTTCAGGAATATGTTCTTCAGTTGATTTCAGAGCTCGATCATGCACCGTGAGTTTTCCATCAAGCCTCGGTGCTTGAGGCATGACAGTGAGGGCTCAATATCCTAGGCAACGTCCACTCAGGCTGAACACACATGTTATGGTCAGAATCAGCGGTGGGGTATGGAGTTTGTTGGAATATTCGGAGGATAATGGAAACTGTCTAGCAATTCTCCTTTATGATTTCCATCAGTTGCATTTTTTTTTAATTGACTTACGGGCCTAGCTCAAGCAAGTGGGCCCTGCAGAATAATGCTCACTAATCCATCAGAAATGAGAGCAATGTTCAGTCAAGTGCAGTGATTGTAGAAAATCTGAAGTATACTCCTTGATAGAATATAGCTTAATGCTGTGGCCCCGTCCGTCGACCTCCTTGCTTGCCAACCTTGAATAAAATCCGCCGACGTAGTCCATCCCCTGCTGTTTGGAAGCCCACTTCTACCACGGGGGCTCAGAAATAAGACATTATTTCCTTGCATATGTGCAAGGACAACAACCCGATTCCTGATCCGGAGTTTGGGGTTTTCTATCCACATATGGCCACCATTATATATATATAATGGTGGGAGCACCTCAAGCCATGATGTAGCATGATCAAGGAACATTAAGATTTGACATCATGGGGATGTTTAATGGCTGATGGATAAGCATTATGAATAAATTACTGCTAAAACAGCATGTGTTACATTGAAATCCATATCTAAAACACGTGAGAGGGTACGTGAAAGATGCCAACGTTTCTCCAAGGGGTCGCTTTGGAGATAGGAGGATCAACACATCAACAAGGCCGAGAAGAGAAAAGAAAGCAAGTGAGAAAAAAGGCTTTAAGCCGTTAACATTCATGATCTTTATCTAAATCCTGTATTCATCCCCCATTCCTCCTTTAATGGTAATCATTGAGTATTAAATTCGACATAGTTCTATAAAAAGCCATCAAGCGTTCAAGCACAAAATTTGCATGCTTTTTACTGCTGAGCCTTGTTCTTAGCGAAGGCCTGAGCACCATCAACCAGACGCCTCTCGGTGTTCTGTCGGCCGTTGACGAAGTCAGGGTAGTTGAGGGTGAGCTCGACAGCACCGTTGACGATGTTGTCCACGGCCTCAACACCGAGCATGAATGAGTGGTCCTGGTTACCGACCTCGTAGCGCCAGCTACCGAAGCGGCCACGAGACCAGATATCAAGTTCCTGCAGTCTAGGCAGGATCTGAGTAAGAGCGCCCTCACGCTCAAGAGAGGGGGTGGGGTATCCGTGGTCGAAGCGGCGGTGGTAGGTCGAGACAATCTCGTCGGTGGGCTTGAGCATCTCGGTGTTGACGAGACCCTGGATGGACTCCGCAAGGAGAGTGTCGACGTTGACGGGCTTCATAGAAGACTCAGAAACCTCCAACATGATGGACCAGTAGGGGCCTTCCTGAGCATCAGTGTTGCTGGGCTTGGAGCCATCTGCAAGCTGCAGAGTGGGGAGCTTCTTAGAGGCCTCAGGCTGGTTGTGGGGAGAGTAGTTGGAGAAGATGGTGGCACGGTAGAAGGGGCAGTTGTCCTCGGGGAAGTAGAGCTACAATAACGTTAGAAGAGGTGTCTACTATTTTTTTTATAGACCAAATATTGACTTACCCAGCACTTGTCGCCGATTCTCTCGGGGCGAGTACCACGGATACCAACACCGATGACGTGAGTGGAAGAGTAGAAGAGCTCCTTGGTCAGGCTGGTCAACTGCTGGTCGCCAATCTGCTCAGCGAGGGCGTCCACGGCCATGGTGGACACGAGCTTCTGGTAGCCGACAACAGTGCCATCGCCCAGAGTGACAGTCTTGTTCTTAGCGTTAACCTTCTCGACCTTGCCCTTGTCACCGAAGCGGGTGTTCTCCTTGGGAATGGTGTTGGCAACAGCAATCCAGATACCACCGGTACCGTCGCGGGCGGGGAAACGGAAAGTAGCGTTAGGGCCCCAGTTACCAGCGGTCTTGTTCAGGATCACGTTGGTGGTCACTGCCTTGACATTAGGAGCAGCGACACGCTCACCGAGCCAAGCGCATTGCATCTGAAAATCGTTCCCGTGTTAGTATTGCGGCCTATTGCGAAAATTCTGAAAAAATGGCGGGGTAAACTCACCTTCTTGGTGGGCACAGCCCAGACCTTGTAGTTGTAGGGTCTCATGAAGATATCGGCGACACCAGTACCCATCATGCGGACAATCCACTCATCGAAATCCTTGGGCTTGGTGTTGGCCACGCGGTGTTCAATGGCGGCATCAATCATGCCGTCAATGCACTTGACCTGGTCCTCCTTGGGAAGCATGGAGATGTTGTTCTGGAAGGGGTAGGGAACCCAGAGGCCCTTGCAACGGACGTAGGAAATACGCTGGTGCTCGTACCAGTCCTCATCATTGGGGAGAGCCTCGTTGATGCAGTCATCGAAGTATTTGTAGTGGGAGAAGATAACGTGACCACCGACATCGTAAAGCTGCAACTGTGTTAGCTTGACGGCCCTTCAAGAACAATTTGTCTGATATGGAAGATGAGTGAATCCACGTACGAAGCCTTCGGGGGTAACATCGGTAGAGGCAAGACCACCGGGGGTCTCGTTGGAGTCGACAATCAACCACGAGGGGCCGTTCTGGAGCAGGGAGTTAGAAGTTTGTATTGTGCGCAATCAAGGGGACAATCCGTACGATCTGGTTCAGACGCTTCGCGGCACCAAGACCGGTAGGGCCAGCACCGATGACGAGGACGTCAACTGAGCTGTAGTCGAGAGCATGATGGTTAGCTTCGTCGTCCAATCCCCCGAGACGGCATCGGAGAGAGCTCCTTACATATCGGGGTGGGTCATCCTGCCTTGTAGGATATCCTGAAAGCTGGGAACGCGGTTCAAAGTCTTGCGGGCTAGACTGAGCATAGAAGAAAGTGAAACTGCAGTTGCTCTGCAGTATTTAAGAAGGAGGCGGGAATGAGGGGAAGAGAAGACGGTGAGGGAAGGTGGGCGGAAAGGGACAGCTGGTAATAATAATTAACCTTTTGGGGCGACGGCCGGGAAAAGCACAAAAACGTGACACAGCTTGCGGTGGGGTTTGGTCTCTCGTTTCAAATTTCGACCCCAAGGGCGAAAGACTCGCCAGCTTTTACGTTTCTCTGGAATGGAATTGCAAAATTAATTTTAAAATTAAGATATAATAGTCTGAGATCGGTTATGATGATTCGCGGCCGTTCAACCACCCACGACGGTTGCGTGAGAGCCTTGGAAAGGGGAATGCCGAAAAAGGGGGAGGCCAAACCAGACCTCAAGGGCCCAGAATTCTGGAGTCGCCAACTGGGTCGATGGAGGTTCATCTCTGGTTTCTTCAACAGCCACGTCGTCGGTGGCCAACCATCAGCCTCTTTGGTTGCTCTGCGGCACCAGCTGCGCTTCCTCTGGGACCCTGTTGGACAGTTTCCCTCAAGTTGAAATCTACATTGCTGCTCTTCTCTTGTCCGAGCGGAAATTATATCGGATGCGACCCTGGATGATCCGCTGCATGCGGGTTATAATTGGTTCTTTAGGGCCCTGATCCTTATCGCCGTATCTCGATGCACTGATGCAGCCTGTATCGACTGCCCCTCGATAAAACATTGGAAGATTGACCCCAAGGGGGAAACTCGCATGGTGGCTGGGAGGAATGTTCCAGGTTGGCGAACCAGGGATTGTCGCCGCTTCCTTGCTTCGGACAGCAAAATCGATCTGCTTATAGTTAGTATTCTGGGCAACGGCCGCTGTCAAACACATGACAACCAGCCTCATCCAACTATCTTAAGAGTCACGATTGCCCTTCGTTTTTCTGCTTGCAGAGCACCTCCTGGCTTCGCTTCAGTCTTCTGCTTGCAGAGTGCCTCCTGGATTCGAGAGGCTGACCGCTGAACCCTTGCCCTGCGAAATATGTTTATCCCCATTGGGTAGTTCCAAGTACGAAGAGATCCTGCTTTTGAGTGTTGGTTCTTGACGCCCTCGAGCCAATCCCAAATCATTGCATGGGTTGTGAGACAACGGGCGATTGACATATACTTGAATCATGTGGCACATTGGTTGCTTTGGTTGACGCCCGACGGCGTGCTCCGTATTTTGTCAGGTTGCGATCGACGAGATGTTTGAGGTTTTGAACACATGTCCTTTGAAACCGACTGCAATAACAAGGAGGAGGCGGATTCTTCCGTCTGTACAATCGGGTATGGAGTAAGGGTACGTACCCCTCCGTCACGGGCCTCACGGAGTCACGGCAACACTTGATCAGTGCCAGTTCCCAAGGCTGATATTGGATCTTGGGCTTGGGATGTGAGGCGGCGGGCGCGGAAACACAATCCTGAATGAGGGTCCACTGATTGTCGTTGCTATTAAGGGAAAGAGAAGGGAGATCTCCAGTCTAGAAGCAGAAACTGGAAAAGATGCCGTTTCCCAGCAGAGAGATGGCGAATTGGCGATAAATAATCTCCATGCTCATGAACTTACTAAGATCGGGGAGCTGGCGATCTCTTCATCTTTCCGATACATAGATCACCCGCCTCCGTCCAGACGCGATATTAATATTGCCGTTGGATATCCCGTGAAGAATGGCAGAGATGGAGCTTGTCAAGTCCCGCGCAAACTTGGGAAGCGCGGGACCGATGCAAAGCTTGGATGACCCCTGCTCTTGCGAGAACCGTCGCCATCAGACCGAGGTGATGGCGTAAGGCCCTAGCCGTCAGATCGCTGGCGCAATCTCCACTGGACAAGGGACTGTGGCGGGGACACTATGGGACAAGTGCCCGGTGGGCGCGGGTAACGGAGCACTTGGCTCCAGCGAGCTTGCGTAAGCTGCCCTGTGCTAAATAAGGCGGTGTCCATTTGTTAAATGCTGATCAGCACCCGAGGACTTGCTCGCTGTCAACTTGATACACTGTGATCAATCCTGAACATCCCTCCTGCCGAGCCCAGGTAGATTTGGATAGACAGGAGCGCGATAGATACATCTCCTTGGAACCATCCCCAGGGTCCAGAGGCGAATCCAGGTCTTTTGGACTCCGTACTGAGACTTGGACCAACATCAAATAATGAAAAGGGGTCGATGGAGGCCAACTTCATTGTGGGGACCTGGATTGACACTCGCCACGAGCGCCATGCCCATTTAAATGATAATACGTAGACAACTTG